TGTCATGTGTGTGTGTGCGTGCGTTTGTACGTGTTCTGTTGTACGTGGCCAGAGAGAGGGAGAGAGAGGGAATATTATTATTATCCCATAGAGATTTGAGGGGAGGATTTTTTTTTTCATTCGGGAAATGAGAGGGAGAAAGGAGATAGACATATTCCCGAGACAGTTGTCTCTCTTTTTTGAGACACGAGGAAGAAAAGAGAAGGTCAAGAAGAAAACAAGAAGAATAAACAAAGTTTTTTTTTCCTGTCTCTATCCCCCCCCCCTGAGACATGGGAAAGATGGACGCAGAGAAGAAGAAGAAGAAGAAGAAGAAAAGAAGAGAAACCAACCCCCCCCCTCCCGAGGGATGTACACTACGATGCGACTACTGTAGGGATGACGGCGGGTTAGATCCTCACAAGCCTATCGGTCCCGAATGTGGTAGCATTACGTCGTACGTGCAGTTGAGTAGAGAAAGGGGGGGTTGGGTTCGGTGACGACGTCTTTCTTTTCCTTTTCTGCCCCTTTCTTTGAGAGTACGAGTACAATTCTGCTTCTTCCTTCTCCAATAGCTGCCGTTCATGCTCTGTTCAGTTGTGTGTCGTCGCAGCTGGGGGGAGGGAGTCATTTTACCCGTACGGGCCAATATTTATTTACCTTGATCTGTCACAGAGTCCTCGTAATAAAAAAAGATATTAAAAGATAAAATAAAAAGGTCCTGACCCCGTCTCCGTTGGATCCCACCCTGGCGCAAGATACAGCACCAGCACCACCCCCCCCCGCCTTACCAAATGCTCCGTAATAGCCAGTCGCGATGCTCCCAGTTTTGCGGGAGAGGGGCGAGGACGGAAGGAGAGCGTCTGGGAGGGTCAGAGACCTCACATACCACTGGGCTGGGTTGGGATCGAGGAAGCGGGTCGGTGTTTAGGGAATGGTCGGTAGTGGTGGTACTAGTGGTAGAGTACAGTGGTCGGTACAGATGTATCGTGACAGATTGTACATTGTATTACAAGGTACGGCGCGCCCGTGAGGCTTTGCGGATAGAAGAGAGCTGAGACCCTGAAAAGAAAAAAGAGGAGGAAGAAGAAGAAAAAAGAAGGTCCCGGACTTGTTCATCATACCACGACATACGAGTAATACTTCGAGTATGCTACCTTACCTGTCTTGATTTCTGGCAAGGTCGTGTATGATACTGAAACCCTGGTGATTTGGACCCTGGAAATTTTACTATGGTGAGCCTATATATAATAATACCCATCATCCATGGATCACCGTATACGTACGTCGCTAGTGATGTTCGCGTGCAGCTGTGAAAGGAACATGACAGGTAACACTCGTCACCACGTGCTCTGACAATTTATTGTATTCACATAATATCATATGTATATACATATATATTTATATGTATATATATATATATATATGTGTGTGTGTGTGTGTGTGCGTTCATATACCATGTTCATACTGAGAAATCTAGAATATATACTACTCGAATAATGACACATGATGAATCAGAAAGACATGGTGATCGCAAGGCAATACCCAAATAAGCACCTTGTAATCTGTACGTACACGGGGTAATAATCCATGGCATGTGAGGAAAAGCTCACGGTACCGCCAGCCATAGCAACTTCACTGCATTGCATCCGTAATAACATTACGGGGTATTGCTCGTACTAGCAGCCGCTACTATCACTGCTAGTGAATCTGTACTGATACCTGTAACGGCACTCAATGTATTACGCAAGCATCGATAACCCGGGCAGCCAAGGAGTCGAGGTCCAAGACCCATCATGCGGGGGCCGCAATGGGCAGCTGGCAACGGCAGCGGGAGGTGAGGCCATGGGCACGGACGCAACGGGTCGGGGATCATCTTGGGGCTCTGCTTATTATTTTTTCTTTTTCGCTCCTCTGTTCCGTCCAAGCTTGTTCCGTTTAAGGAGAGGAGAGGGGAGGGGAGGGGGAAGAGTAAGCGTATTGCTGCTATTGCTATTGCTACGCCAGGTAATAACAGAGAATTCGCAAGGGTATTAAGTTGATGGCGTACTTTCACATAATAATAAAAGTAATAACAACAACAGCAACAACAACAACAACAACAACAACAATAATAATAATAATAATAATAATAATAATAATACAAGATATAAATCAAGTGGTTTATTATATTCATAACATTTTGTGGTGTGTGTGTGTGTGTGTGTGTGCTCGGTTAGGCCTTGACTATACTCGTACTCGTACACGTAGATATCCGCCCCCCTCTTCCCCCCCCCCTGGCACCGGTCATAGTCGGCCGACCTGAAATGTCAGTCATCAGGGGTATCGGATGGTCAGAACTTAGCATCAAAGAGGAACAAGGGAAGGTGACATCAGTGAAATATGAAAGAAGAGGTCAAAAAGGGAAAAGGAAGCGAAGGGACACAGAGGCATAAAGTTAAATTGGACATTTTGAAATGTGCCATTTTACATATAACGGTGATGGAGAGTTTTTTCCCTACTTTCTGGTCTGAATTTTTTTTTTTGTTCAGGATCTATTATAAAAAGAAGAAGAAAGAAAGAAAAAAAGAAAAAGAAAAAAGAAAGGAAAAGGGATTGTGTTTTGGGCTTGGGCAGATATATGAGCCCGTACTCTGTTTTCATTTATTTTTTTACGTCGTGATACATGTACGTTTTTTCGACTCCCATCATGACCTGTACTTGGGGCGTACCTGCATTGTATGATGGATGATACATGTAGACGCGGTAGTTTCAAGTCAAGGGATGAGGAGGAGGAGGAGACTATCAGAGTACATTCTACTCAAGGTGGGAAGTGTGCACCGTAGTAATCATGATACCTATATGATAGATAGTACGATTATAATATATATATGTACGGAGCATTACCATGTAATACTATGTAATACTATGTAATACTCCATACTCCGTGGTAGCAAAAGAAGCAAGAGGAAGATGGAGATTCGAGACGAGTGTGATGGAGAAGGAAGAACGGGGACTTACCAATTCAGGTAGAGCGTCATCTGATTTCAGAAGAGAAAAAGAAAAAGAGACTAACAAAAAAAGGAATTTATAAAAAAAAAAAAAAAGAAAGAAAAAAAAGAGATCCCCATCTTATCCGTAGACGAAAACCCCCCCAGGTAAAGAAGATCCTCTCAAGAGAGGGAACCAACTTGACGGGCTAGACTGATGCTCACTGGTGGTTGGTCATTGAAAATTAGAGAGGTAAATAAGGATGGAGTACGGCGAGGTATCGTAAGTCTTACCAAAGCAGACGGGGCCGGCCACTGAACAGCTACTATTGGTGCGTGTCCGAACCGACCATCACCAATCTGGCTCCGGCATTCCTATCTGATTTGTCGCGTCCATAGCGTCGTCGCCTTTTACGTACGAGTACTCCTCGGTACATGTGCCTGTCTTTCCCTGTTAGAGGGCCAACGACCGCAGGACAATCTTGACTCTCTCGTCAACTTTTCTTTCTGATCTAACTACTGGTACGGGCAAGGCTCTCCATGTTGCCAACTATTGACCGATTAGGTGTCTGCTCCTTTCCCTTTCTTCTTCCTCCACGTCACTCGTCTATGTCTTACCTGGATATTCTCCAATACCAAGAACGAGAAGAAGAAGAAGAAGAAGAAGAAAAGTCTCCATCAGTGCCGTTGTGTTACGTGTGCTGCCAGTCACCACGCTGCGCTGCTCTCGCGGTACTGATATACTACCACTCCTACCGTGACCAGACAGGTATAAGTCTATTACGCACATGCTACGTACGTAATACTACGTCTTGTGTGTATTTTAATCAACGACACCATGTCCCCCCCACCTCCCCCCTCACTCTCCTCACCATCAAACCTCCCTGTCCCACATCAACTTTTCTCTTCTTCTTCTTCTTTTCCTGTCGTTGGTCCCCGGCAGGACGGATGCGAATGCGGATGCGTATATGCAATGCACAGTAATCTGACGTTTTTTTTTGGGGGGGGGAGGGAGGATTCCTCTTCTTCTCTCGTCCTATTCTTCTGCTTCTCTCTCCCGAGTTGCATGAGATCAATATTGATTATTAGTACCTCTACTAGTACTCTTTTTATTCTCGTGTAGCAGTACGAGTATCACCTGGCGAGTACTTGTAGATGTCATCTCCCTCTTCCCACCAAATTGTCTGATAAGAGACATTGGTGTCAGAGAGTTCAAGACAAATACAACAACAACAACAACAACAACAACAGAAGGTGGATTGAGACATTGAGAGTGTACGAGAACGTGATATTGAAAGTGGCACCTTTCCTTCCTTCTTTTTTTTCTCCTCTTTTTTTTTTCTTTTTTTCTTTTTCTTTTTCTTTTCTTCCATTGACAAGAGAACAGCTCTTCTGTGTACCGAAATAGTATGAAATAAAGTACGTGCATGGAATGATGATGAACAACCGGATCCTTATCCCTCAGTCGGGTCGGCCATAAGTCCAAAACGTCAGGCCGGGTCGAAACGTACACAGGTACGACCTGGACAGACGACAGGGGAGTCCCAAGATCGCGACGATAGTCCCGGGACTCGTTGTACGTCATGACTATGTACTCCGAGATTTGACGGTATATTAGAGAGCGGACTTGCTGCGGTTGTCGTGTGCAGGGTCTGTACGGTACGGTACGGTACGGTACGGTATGGAATAATACCGTAAAGCTCGTGGGGGATTGGACCCTCTCGTCGTTTATTATTACTATTATTGCTGTCGCCATTTACGAGAGTATACCAGAGTATACCAGCAGCTAGCACTAGGAATGAGTACGAGTATCTGTAATACTCTATTGCATCTGTACAGATTACATGCAGTACGTATCCTTTGTACATGCTATGCGAGTACCACGTAGCAGTAGGACTAATCTGTACAATCTACCAAGTATTACTATTACTCTACGTCCCCATCGCATCTAAACAACTGCCCCCCCCGACTAAGAGAAGAGAAAAGAAAAGAAAAATACGTAGATACATGTATCCGTACTCTGACCTTGAGATTTCCCTTCCCTTTCCCTCAATGAAGCCCGCCACCCCCAGCAAGCTCCGCCGATCCGACCTCCCGACAGCCATGTCTGAACAGCTCAGTATATGTGAGGTGGGTAATATTACACCACCCTTGCTTGTCCTTGTACAGACAGGCACACACATACTCTCTCCCCCTCTCTCTCCCTCCCTCCCTCTCTCTCTCTCTCTCTCTCTCTCTGATCGACTTCTGTTACCTTTTTGGAGTGAGGAGCGCGAGAGCGGATATACAAGGGGTATTGTATGGGGCATCTTCTTCTCCTTCTTTCCTTTCACGGTGTTCTGCTGTGATCCCCAGTATCAATCAACGTATGCACTCGACCACTACGTCAGGATTAAGGGGAGAGAGAGAGTGTGTGAGTGTGTGTGTGTGCAGAGTTCAGAGAGGTTCAGCATGATGATGAACATAGGATATAACTAATACGATATGATATGATATCTATGAACACGTACGTGTATGCAGTGCACAGTGACAGAAACAAAGAAAAAAAGAGAACCCATCGCCAACTTGCATCCTGGCTTTTCTCTGCCCAACCCCTGCCGACCTGTAAAGTGAGGCTTGGTTTAGGGCGGATACGATGGACGTCGCCGTCCTCAACCCTGTAGCCCTCGCACACACCCACACCACCATCTTTTTTCTTTTCTTTTCTTTTTTTTTCTATCCACACTCCTGTCCGCCCACAGCAACATACCCCCCCTCCCCCCCAATCTACTTTACCCCCCCAACCCCTGCTCTTCACATTCACACACACCCCTCCAAGTAGCAATCGTTCTGGCGGAGAGAGAGAGAGTATGTGTGTACTTTTTTTCCTCTCTTCTCCTTCCCCTACTCCGCCTTATTGTCTCCATGCCTGCTAACACTGGAGCCGTTTTTTTTTTGCTTGCTGCATAGCTCGGTCCTGCTTAGCCCCAACCTACTGGTGTAAATATATCATCGTTGGCATCTGCTCCTCTTCTCGACTTCTCTTCATTTGGTTCCTCCTCGTCTCTCATCATCTAACTCTCTCCTACCTCTATCTTTCCCCTCACATCCATATATATATATATACATATATATATCGTTTGTTTACTTCACCCCTCTCTCTATCCTACATTCGTTGTTATATATCCTCTCTCTCTCTCTCTCTCTCTTCTTTATAATACCTCTCCCTCTCTTTACCTTGGTATCTTCTGCATTCAAGGTGATTTGTTTCACAAGCTCAACATCCCGAACACACACACACACATACACACACACACACACACACGCGCGCGCGCGCACACATATCTATATACATATATTCCGAACTTGTGTATTATCGGACAACACTACTGGGGGAAAACTCGTCTCCTCACAACACTTCATCGTCATCACAATGGTTTCCTTGGCGGATCAGTCCATGACGCACGCCATCTTCACCCACCACGACACAATGTACACGGAAAACTACGATTCGAATCACAGCGAAGACACGGCTTCGCCCCCCATAGAGATGAACGGCCTCTACGACTATTCGTCCCTGACGCCCTCACAAATGACGTTTGATCACCACCTCCAGCACATCTACGCCGCCGACCCGTCTGCACAGTACGCCGAGTACGCACCGTTCGCAGCGGCACCCTCGCCCGGAGGCCTGAGCCTGTACGGAGCAGACGACGTGAACGGCATGCCCTCGTCTGGCCTGTCCACAGCCTCGGCCGACTCGTCCGCAGCGGGATCGCCGCAGTCGAACCCCGTGGGTATGACGCAGGACTGGTCGGGCCAGGGCCAGCAGCAGCAGCAGCAGATGCACCACAACCAGCACCCCGGCATCGTGGGAAACGACTACGTCTCCCCCGCCGATTTTGGCGGTGCTCCCGCTTATGCCACCCTCGACGAGTCCATGGCCGTCACCTTTGATTTCGGACAGCATCAGCCCAAGGGATTTGTCGGTACGTGTTGACCATTCTCCTCTAATTCTCCTACCCTTTTACCTTGTCCGACAGTATTGCGACCTTTCTCCGTCTTGTTTCCCTTGTTTCCCTTCCCTTCCCACCATCTTTCTCTCACCGCAGACCCACTAGGCTTTGACGTGACAAGTCATCTGCCCCTCCTTCTCAGCTGCAACACCCCTGTCTCTCCCCTCCCCCATGTTCGTCTGATTTTGTCCTGGCCATTGCATATGCTCAACGTCACTGTCTTTTTTTCTTCTTTGTACTTTCTCTCTTCTTCTTCAACCACGGTGCTGTTTTCTATGGTGATTCCTTTCCCCTTTCTCTCTTTCCTCCTGCCTCCTTTTCCACTCCACAAGGCAAGACCGTCACATTCCTTATCTGAGACATTTTGGTGCGGCTGTACGGGTCCAGTGGCTCTGTCTCTGCAATCTGGTTGGTTGGCTGGCCACTGGCAGGTCACCAGCCGTCCACTGGCTGGCGGTTGGCCATAGCATTAAGGCACCTCTTTTTCTTTTCTATTTTTTTTTTTTTTTTTACGAAAAAGTGCCCAGCACGCCATTACCGACTCGATCAACCGCTGGAGGAGAGCCGGTGTTTTACCACTGCCACTGCCACCGCTGCACCACAATGCCACTATTTTTTATTTACTACTTAACTCCATACTACGGAGTACCTTGGTGCTAGTAGCACCTTGGTAGTAAGTAGGATTACTATTCAACACACTCCATCCCCTTTCCCCCCCCCCCCCCCCCCCCCCCCCCCCCCCCCCCCCCCCCCCCCCCCCCCCCTTTCTACCTGTACTCTCTCTCTTCTCCCTCCCTTTCATTCTTTACTACTCTGGATCTTGAAGCGTCATCGTTGCATTACCCCTTCTTCAATTTATTACTGTTCCTTCTCGAAAATGGTCGACACATTTCCTTCCATCAACATGGATGCTAACTTTATCATAGCAGACCCCTCCCTCATCCATCCTGAGATCGGCGGCCCACCCATGGCTATCCCCCAGTTCAGTGCACCCTTCCAGCAGCAGCAGCAGCAACCCCACCAACCTACAAACTTCCCAGCCTCACCCTCCGTCTCTTCCTCCTCCCCCATGCTGCGAACCGACAGCGCCTCTCCCTTCTTCCAGAATGGCGCCAGCTACCACCACACGCACACTCCCTACTCCCACAGCCCTTATGCCACCCCCATCGACCCCAACGCCCGCCGTCCGAGCATGAGCAGCTTCGTCTCCCCCGGCTCGGCCGAGTACCACAGCGGCGACGAGGGCAAGGAGAAGCAGAGATGCACATACCCCGACTGCGGCAAGGTCTTCAAGGATCTCAAGGCCCACATGCTCACTCACCAGAATGAGCGGCCCGAGAAGTGCCCCATCCAGACCTGCGAGTATCACACCAAGGGCTTCGCCCGCAAGTACGACAAGAACCGCCACACCCTGACCCACTACAAGGGAACCATGGTCTGCGGCTTCTGCCCGGGATCGGGCTCGCCTGCCGAGAAGTCGTTCAACCGCGCCGACGTCTTCAAGAGGCACCTCACCACCGTCCACGCCGTCGAGCAGACGCCCCCCAACAGCCGCAAGAAGACGCCCAGCGGATCCTCGGACGGTGAGCAGAAGCTGACGGGATACGCCCCCGACGCCACCGGCAAGTGCAGCACCTGCACCCAGACCTTTGCCAACGCTCAGGACTTCTACGAGCACCTCGACGACTGCGTCCTGCGCATCGTCCAGCAGGAGGACCCCGCCGAGGCCGTCAACGCCCAGCACCTAGCCGAGGTCGAGAACGACAAGGCCGTGCTCAAGACGCTGGCCAGGCACAAGATCACCAATGTCAACCCCGCCGCCAACGACATGGACCAGCCCTCTCCCGTCGACGTGGCCGACGACGACGACGAGTCGGTGGCCGAAGAGATTGACGACGCCGACATGGCCGACCCCCAGTCTCACGACGAAGACCCCAAGGTCTTTGGCGACCAGAGGGTCAACCCGCCCAACGGCGTGCAAAAGTCGCGCGGCCTCACCCACTCGAGGGGGGGCGTGCCCATCAAGGTCAGGAGCAAGGACCGCAAGCCCAAGAGGTATCCCGCCTCGTGGGGTGACAATTCGCCCCACGCCGCCAACATGAAGAAGCGCGTCCTCGCCTGCTTCGACGGCCCCCGCCGCCTGGTCAAGGATGACATGCTCCTCTGCGTCGACCACGAGATGCGTCTCAAGCTTGGCGACGGCAAGCACTACGTCACCGACCTCGACGTCCAGACCGTCAAGCGCGCTGAGGGCTTCCTCGGTGCCACGGACGAGGAGAAGGGACCCTGGATCTCGGATGACCCCACCAAAGACCAGCTCAGGGAGATGCAGGAGATTCAGGACATGCTCACTATCGAGGGTAGTGCTTCTTCATAGCATGGGTACTCGGGTCTCTTATTTTATCTTGATTTCTTCTCCTACCCTGCTCCCTCTCCCTCCATTCCTCTCTCTCTCTCTCTCTCCCCCTCTCCCTCTCTCTGTCTTATTTGATACCCTCTTGACATCTTATCTCTCGTGACATGTTCCGAGATTGAAGAAACCTTTTTCACCCCGTCTCGGTCTTGCTGAAAGAGCTTGGCCATGGATTCTTTGTCTATATCATGTATCAGATTTGATACAATAATGTACATATATATATATATATATATATACATATATATATATACCCTTGTGTCTTTGCATCAAGGGTTGACGGATGGATGAATATTCCTAACTCATTCTGGGCGTTTTTTTTTGTTTATTCTGGTTATATGACCAAATTTTTTGGTCATCGCATGTTGGATATTGCTCTTTAAATCATTTGCTTCGCTTGAGAACTTGCTGGCTATACGAGTATCATGATTCAAGCCCAAGGTCCTTGGATTAACAATAATAAATCCTCCGCAGAGCGGTTACAACTGATATATTGCATCAAACGATTGACTGTGATCTGAATGTGAAGGTTGATATTGTTGCCATCTTTCTAGATTTTCTGCCGTCCCCCCCCCTTCTCTCCCCTCGCGGGCTCTTTGACCGTGACCTGATTATCTTGCCATGTCCTGACGTGACGTGGTGAGGGGCAGAACGACAACGACCCCACTAGACGTCCACTCATGGTTTCTCTCTCTCTCTTTCCCACGCTTGTCAGATCTCTCACCCTTTCCATCAGAGTTCAGAAAGGTCAATCTCTACCGGAATACTGACAGGATATCTTCCATGACCAGCTCAACAAAGCATACGGACATTATAGAACGCACCCTCCCACACCAACCTATTACGAGAGAAAAAGACGGGACAAGCTTTTCACTCTTTTATCCTTTCCATCTTCCTACTTGTACCTCTTCTACACTAACAACCCTCCCCCCACCGGCCCATCATGCCCCTCACGCCGCGAATAACCCTAGCGGGATCAAAGAAAGACCCACCGAACTAATAGACAGACCAAAGAAAAGAGAAGAAAAATAAAAGATCCGGAGTATGCTTCCCTCACCCCAGATCAATCTACAAGAGCAGAGGCGAGCAGGAGGCGAGCAGAGACTTAGCAAAAAAGAGAAGAGCGGAGGAGAACCCCTTCTGCCAACTAAACTCCCCTCCCCACCCCCTTTTTCCTCCCCCCCCCGGTCTCCTCGGTCCTCCACCCCGGTGCCCCCCGGTGCCCCCCGGTTCCCCTCTCCAAAAGAAGCGACCCAACATGTCACTCACATCACGAATAACCCTGACGGGAACAAATGAGGACGAGCCAGAGGACCTACTCTCCAGCGCCCTGGGCGTGATATACCCGGACGACGTGACCAACCAGCACGGAGACGCCGACCATCCCCTCTTGTACACGTCGCCGCACCTGCCCGGCCCGCCGTTGGGGTTCGACCTGATGGACCCTGATGCTGAGAGGGAGAGGATGCTGTTCAGCCATTACATGTGGAATGCTAGTCTGCTCATGGGGGAGCTGGTCGAGAGGGATACACTTGGCCTAGAGGGTGAGGGCGAGGCCGGACCCGGATTCGGACCCGGGATGAGCGAAGGTGTAAGTGGGGTTGGGGTCGGGATCGTTGACGGGACCACAGCGGGCGGAGCGAGGGACCCGAACGAAGCGGGGACAAGGACATTTGACGTCAGGGGAAAGTCAATCGTCGAGCTAGGTGCCGGTACTGCACTGCCGAGCATCATGGCCGCCATACTCGGAGCGTCGCGCGTCCTGGTCACGGACTACCCCTCTCAACCGGTGCTCGAGATGCTGAGGGGCAATGTCAGGAGGAATACGGAGGGCAGGACGGGGATTGCGATCGAGGGTACGACCACGAGCATGCCCGTCATCGAGGTTGAGGGTCACGAGTGGGGTGTGTTTGAGCGAAGCGAGGAGGAGGAAGAGAGCAAGGATGGCGAGGGCAGAGAGGACCAAGAGAACGAGAGCGAGCGCGGCGAGGACCAAAAATTGGAGAAGAAGAGAAACAAGTTTGATAGGGTGATTGCATGTGACTGTCTATGGATGCCATGGCAGCACGAAAACCTCAGGAAATCAATAGGTCACTTCCTAGCTCCCGGCCCCGAATCGAGAGCATGGGTCATTGCGGGGTTCCACACCGGCCGAGCCAAGATGGCCGGCTTCTTCGAGACGGAGGCCCTCCGACGCGATGCCGGTCTGGAAGTGGAGCACATCTGGGAGAGGGAGTGCGACGGCAAGGAGAGGGAGTGGGACCCCGAGGGGGAGGAGGAGGATCCCGGCATGAGGAAGAGGTGGCTCGTCGTTGGTATCCTCAAGAATGCCACGGGCTCATCTCAGAACCATAGCATATAGACAGAGAAGATGGAGAAAAAAATTCCTTTTTCAGAGAGGAGAGAAAAAAGGGGGGGTGGTGAAGAAGCAAAACATGCCAGTTCCAGAAAAAAAAAGGACGATACAATTGAGATAAAAACACCGTTTCACAAGTGCAAGTAACATAACTACTTCTGCTCAACCCGCTTCGACGCTACTACCCAGCTCATCAATCTTGCTGATGACATCGTGACTGACGCGCAGGTTCTGAGCGCCGTTCAGAGCCCTCCGCACGACAGCCTCGTTCTGCTCCACCACCAGGCGTCGCAGGGCGCCGACGAGGAAGCCGGACACGACGTCGACGGACCACGAGTCGGGTATCAGGCCCAGGACGTGGTCGACCTCGAACCACCGGCCGAAGCGATCCAGCAGGGCGCCCGTCTGCTCAACGCGGTCGCTCACGTCTTCTATGCGGAGGAACTCGTTTAGGACGGCGTACAGGAGGCGTTGTTGCTGGTCGGCCGGGGGCGGGGATGAAGCCGGCTCGGAGCCGGGGACTCTGCCGCTGCCCATGATACCCTTGCCTCCGCCTAGGCAGTACGACACGGCCGTGTCGTAGTCCCCCAGGCGGTGCACCAGGAGCCGCAGGGCGTCCTCGTGGTTGCGCTCCCGGCCCGACAGGATGATGGCCTCGGGTACGAGGAGGTCGGCGGGTAGGGCCGCGGCGATGCGGGCCCGTATGGCGGCCGCGTCGTACGGGTGCGGCCCGCTGAGGAGCTGCAGGAGCCGCAGCCGGCTGTGGTGCACGTCGCCCGCGTCCTCGGCCGGAGTGGGCGCGTTGTCCGCCAGGAAGTGCCGGTACGCCGGCTTGGGCGAGTCGAGCGCCCGGTACGCGTCGTACGTCGCCATGACGGCCGAGCGCCTGTCCGCCGACGACTCCAGGTCCCCCACCACCACGTCCAGGTAGTACCAGATCAGGTCACGCACGTAGCCCGTGCTGCCCTTGCCGAACACCAGGTGCTCCAGGTAGTATTTTACCGCGTCGGGCGCGTCCTCACGCAGGATGTCCACCACGTGCTCCGGCTCGAACCGCGGCGCCCGCCCGTTGTCCTCGGTGAAGACCTGCACCCCTAGCTTGGGGTTGCGACGCGCCAGCCACACCCCGTACTCCTGCACGAGGGGCTGGCTGCGGATCCGCGATAGGTACTCGCGCACCCGCAGCTCGCCGTCCCGTAGCTCCTGCCCGTCGTCGCGCTCGCCCTCGACAATGCGCCGCCACGTCGCCAGCACGTCCCCTGCCATCTTGCGGCTCTGGTACAGTCGGCTCAGGATGAAGAGCCGGTGGTATGTCTCCAGCAGACCCACCGCCCGCTCGAAGCAATCCACGCCCTTATCCACCACCTCGTTGAGCTCCTTGCGCACCGCACCGCCCGCCCCCGCCGCCCGCCCACCGGCTGTCTGGAGCGTCGACCTGTCCAGCTCCAGCAGCACCAGCAGCAGTGCCGCGTCCACCGTCCGATACACCTCTACCTCCTCCGACACGCTGGGGAGACCCTTCATCCCCCTCCACTTGATCAGGAATCGCCGCAGGAGGTGAAGTATCCGAGGACTCAGGCTGCCCACGCCGTGCCGAGACGACTCCTCAAACTCGCTGCTGCGGATGAACGCATCGGCCGTCCGCTTGATACCGCTTGATATCCATATGCCGCGGCGGCCCTGGATGATTTCGTTGCGCACCCCCGGTATCAGCGACAGCACCACCCTGGGGTCTAGGCTGCTCTCCACCAGCACCTCCTCGAGCACGCCAATCTCGCCGTCCGAGAACTCCTGTCCCGCAGGCGAGCTCAACAGGCTGGTCAGGAGGAGCAGGCCAACCTTCTGTTTGAGGTAGCTGAAGGTCAGGAACTCGAGTTCTGTCTGCGGCTCGCGCCGTCGAATAGCTCCGAGCACCGATACCACAGCACGGCGGTCAATCTTTTGCGATCCCACGTACCCTGCAGGGCATGCCGCCTCTAGTACTGAGTCATATCTCGCGACCAGTGGGTTGCGCATCGCCCACCATATGCGGTTGCCCACCCACACGGCTAGTCGTGTCTGTGTCTGGGCGAGGCGCCGTGTGAATTCTTCTGCCTCTGTATCTCGCGATGCTTCCCACCCTTCCGGCAGTGCCTCCCCGTCTTGCGAGTCCGAGTCAAACAGCTCCTTTTCTTTGGAGAGTCGCTCGATGGACAGCGCTGTGCGCGAGTCGGCGCTCTTGAGTGAGACCGTAGACGTGTCCGCGCTGATCGAGAAGGGCGTGAACTTCTTCTGACGTAGCCGGGACACGATCTCCTCCATCTCAGTTGAGTCACTGCCCGTCAGAGATCGGATCCCGTACACGACAGAACCGTCGACATCCTCGGCTTCTAGCCAGTACCGATCGTTTTCTGGCCCGTCCGAAGCATTGAGTGGCTGGATGTCGATTCCATGCCGAATCCCTTGTTCCGTCTCCTTAGCCATTGATGCCAGAACGAAGCCGTCATTATCGTCTTGCGGGGTTGGCTGCGAAGGATCTGACGAGGCGCAGTCGACAACCATTTCCTTAGGAAATCGTTCAAAGCTGACAGGGGCCCTGGTAGGATCCCCGTCCAAGTTGACAAACATGCCAATGCACGGCTCGACTGGGCTTGTACCCCTGATAACCAGGAACTCTTCAGGCGTAGGCGACGCAATGTGGGGTTTTAGGAAAACTTGTCTCTGCGGCTGAGATGGTGTGCCAGTCCTCGAAGGCGGTTGGGGCAGCGGCTTGTTGGTTGACGAAGGGGTCGCGCCATCTTCACCGGGCGGAGGACTCCTCGACGGCGTTGATGGCCCAGAGTCGGGCTGGAAGACGGATGTACCCAAGCTTGTGCTTCGACTGTGGCTCTGAGCGCCCATGGATGGTCGGTTGTGGGCCGAGGAATTACTCCTGGTGACGCCGCCGGTTGGCGAAGGGGCGGGTAGACTCTGTGCATGTCCAATTTCATCGGGAGGCGGTGACTCGTCCAATGACGAGATGCTCATCAAGGGAATTCTCAACTGCCTCTCGACATCGAGGAGCAGGTATGACTTGGAGTCGGCCACGCATGCGATGGCATCTCGGCGAACAGAGAGGGTACTTCCGGGTAGAGGAATATCCTGATAGTATTGTCAGAAAATCATCGGCCGCGACAACCACACATCAGGTATGCAGGTGACATACGTGAACTATTCGAGGCTCCTCTCCGAGCCGGATAGCCTGAATGAGCCTATTGAGCGAAACAAGAACTGTCTGGGCAGCGGGGCGGCCATCATGCGCCTGGCTGTCGAAGGGCTCATTAAGGTCAACACCGCCAATCCAGCTACAATTCCTCAATTTGCGGTTCCCGTAGGCAGGGCTGAGCTCGGGGAGAGAATAAAATGTCACGGTCCAGTTGCAGCGGATGCAGGCCTTGCCTGCGCGAGGGAGGATAAGGATCTGCTGGACACCAGGGAGCGACCCGGAAGAGGCGCCCGAGGGCTCTGCATAGTATGGGGCCAGACGAGAGGCAAGTATATATACAGGACGTCCGGTTCTATCACTAGGGTCTGGAGGGATTTTGACAAAATGTAATAGCTCGGATGCGCTGGTGCCGACGTACAGGTTGTTGTCTGCCTCAGTCAGTTATACGGCCGCCTTGCTACTAATGCTTCACGGGCCAACCTACCGTAATAGTCGACGCAGTTAATCTTGACGTCTGACTCTGACCCATCTGCCGACAGCGGCACCTCGTCGAGAAGAGGCTTTAGGATGAACGGCCCATCGACGCGCCTCGAGGGTTCCTGGGGAGCCGAGGACATGACGGTGGAAGCGACGGGTAGGTGCACAGTGAGATCATTTGGAGGGCGCAATCGTCATGGTCGCAACCGAAGGCCGACCCAGAAGGTAGCAAGAAAAGCAGGGTATTTTAAACCGCAGTAATCGAGCAGACTTGGAGGTCAATGATGACGGATGTGAAAAGCTGCGCTTGTTGGCTGTTACTTGTATGCATGGAGCTCTCGCACGAGGGGCGGGCAGGCAGGCCTCTCTTCTTCCCAAGGCTGAATTGAGGCGCAGTACGAGGCACGAAGGTGTGGCGCATAACACGGAGCTTGTAGCTGGCCCGTCAGGCGGCGAATTGCAAAGCCGTTGACTTCACCACGTTTCACATCCACGGCCTCTCTGCTGTCACTGAGCGCGCGACAATTAAACCGCACACAAGACCCTCGTTATTATTTCACGGGAATCACTGTCTACTCGCCCAGCCGATGAATCCTACTTCCCCAATAGGTTCCTCATAATGGCGGACCCAGTGAGCTTTGCGGAGGAGGCTGCTGCGGCAGCCTCGGCCGAATCGCAGCAGCCCGCGCCTACGTTCGAAGGCGAGAACAAGTTTCAACATGCCATCTCGGTATGGAGGAGTGAGTAGTCATCTCTGTCTATCCGATATTAGGACGTCCTGAACCCCTCATGGCGACGTACATGGGCGCTTACTAGAGGCGGCAGACCTCGACTTGACGACCCTCACATCTAAGCTCGATAATACGGCATCGGAAATTGTGACCTACCAACGAGACTCGACGGTCCAGCGCAAGGACCTGGCTCAGAAGACCAAGGAATTCCGCAAAATGGACGATGAGTCCAAGCTTAGCGAAGTCAAGGGATTACTCAAAGGTAAGACTACCGATCAGCTCTATCGATCGTACTGCCCAGGTCCTGATCATCAAGCAATACAGCATACCAGGGCTTCATTGATGTCCTCACGAACCACTCCAAATCTGTCAACTCGGCCTTTTTGCAGGCATATTCGTCCTTATCCGAAGTCCCCGACCCCTACCCGCTGCTGGAAGCCTCGGTCGATTCTATGCTCGTATCCGAAGACACGCTCCCCAGGCTGACCGAAGAGAATAAGCACCTTCAGCAGAACCTGTCACAGGTCACGGCGACGCTGGAGGAAACAGAGGCTAAGCTGCAGAGCGAGCGAACAGCGCGCAGGGAGATCGAAGACAACCTAGAGAAGCGTGTCAGGGATGTCGAGTCGTCATGGAATGCCGTCCTTGAGGAGAAGACGGACAACTGGGCGGCCAAGGAGAAGACGATGGAGGAAAAGGCCGAGAACCAAGAGCGTCTGCTCAATGAGATGCGGGCCAGCTACGAGGTCAGCCAGCGAATGGGCAAGAGCGGCGGGGATGAGAGTACGCAGCGTAGCCACGTCTCAAGCGTCGAGATGGAGATGCTGCACTCAGACCTTGAGCGCGCGAGCACCCGGTTGGCCGAGGTAGAGGCAAGGAATGAGCAGCTGAGGATAGACCTGGCCCAAGCTAAGTCGACCGTGTCGAACCAGACCGAGGCGTCGCTGGAGGATGACCCTGGATACATGCGCATGCGCGCAGAAAACTCGTCACTCATCCGGAAGCTCGACGGCTCCAGGGTCGAGAAGGAGGCGTTGAGACGGGAATTCGACCAGAGGCTCCGGTCCCTGGAGAGGGAGACGGCCCTTCTCAAGGAGGAGAGAGAATCTCTCAAGGCCAAAGTGGAGAAGTGGGGCGACTATGATGAGTTGAAGCAGGAGCTCGAGGTGCTCAAGAGCATCGAGTTTGCTACAGGAGATGATGGCGAAGCGGGCAACGACCTGGGTGAAGACGCCAAGAGCGGTACGAAGGACACACTGGAGACGCTTCTGCTGGCACGCAACAAGAAGCTAGGCGATGAGCTCACGGTGCTTCGTGTGTCGTACCAGGGCGTCAACACGCGACTCGAAGACCTACAGGAGGAGCTGTCGAGGACAAACGCCGAGCTAGAGAAGGCGCGCAACCTCAATGAGAAGCTGGAGGCCGACCTGGAGGCCATGCATACCGAGGGGGCCAACGCTTTCCCGTCTGGCGTATCGGTGGCTGGAACTTACGTGACGCGTGGACCGCCAGCTACTACACGCAGGGGAGGTGGCAGGAGCTCGCCGACGTCATCCATAATCAGCGGTCTGGACCCGAGGTCATCACTGGCCGGTGAGCGCGAACCAATGGGTGGGGGATCGGGCATCCTGCCCATGGTCAAGGCGCAGCGCGACCGATTCAAGAAGAAGAACTCTGAGCTGGAGCGCGAACTGTCGGAGAACCACCGGGCATTGCAGCAGCTGCGGCACGAGGTGGCAGCGCTACAAAAGGATAACCTCAACCTGTACGAGAAGACGCGATACGTGTCGACGTATAACCGCGGCGGTGCCACAGCCGCAACGTCATCAGCCTACACCGGGAGCCCGAACCCGTCGACAGTGGCCATAGGCACCAGCGGCGGCGCAGGCAGCCCGGGCATAGAGCTAGACCGGTACCGCAAGGCGTACGAATCCAACCTGTCGCCCTTTGCGGCGTTCCGGGGCCGCGAGTCGGCGCGCGCCTACCGCCGCATGAGCTTCCCCGAGCGCATCGTCTATTCTATCACGCGCATGGTCATGGCATCCCGCACCAGCCGCAACATCTTTGCCGCGTACTGTCTCGCCCTACACGTCCTCGTCTTCCTGTCACTGTACTGGCTCGGGACTGCCGATTCGGACACGCATGCCAGCCAGCTGGGATCCACTATGGCTGCTGCCGGAGGTGCCGCTGCTGGCGGGGTGGCCGGTGGGAGGACAGGAGGCGTAGGAGGAGCTGCGGCGGGGGGCAACTCGCAGAATATCCCGCAGGGCCACGGTCAATGGAAGCAGGATGGCTTCGGAGGTCGGTAACTCTCGATTGTTACCGTGCCGTGGTTCGGTGTATTCCTGTATGTATATATCGTGTGCTGTTGTAAGCAATCACTTTTCTTTTTGAGAGAGACAGTTTTGCCATTTCATTTTGCCGTCCCTTTTCTCGTCTCTCGTTATTACTTGCTTTCCCCCCCCCAAATCCTGTTTAGCCTCGATGAGAAGAGGTAGAAGACGTGACAGACAAACAAATGTCATGTGTACAGTGCTGTCTCACGAGATCCACTGTTAGGGTCAAGTTGAGAGCACGTCAATATTTTCTTCTTTGTGTGCTCTCTTTTCCATTTATTCCTTACTCGAGAGATAGATTACATACTGCAAGTCATGATGGCAGAGATAGATAGACAGCTGGGTATGCAAGGGAGATTCTGTCTTGGAGCGTTGAATGCGAGGCCATCTCGTTCTCCTACTATTGGCAGTGACTGTAGGAGTATTATTGACTATCACTGCCGATGATGATGGTACTGGTAGTAACACATGTTCTATTAACATATAAACCGTATAAGCATCCCTATTCGCACCGAAACTATTACAGATTGTGCCTGGTGGTGACTTTGGACGTGCGTGGCGCATGAGTGGCGCACCGGTAGCGGGGGTAGCAACAGCCTCGCCACGCAACCACACCGCTATAGAAGCCCTCTTGCGCCCCTTTCTCCTAGGACCTGAACTTTCCTTTCTCTTTCCTCATCGCGAAATGAACTCTTTTAGGAGCTACCCTTCCTGAACCAGTGAGGCCAGCCCGTCGCATAAACCCATCGTAACCGGCTCTAGAGCCTACCGCACGTCCTTGGGGAAGCGGCGGCTGCCGACAAGACACAGAGAGTAGTTGTCAAAAGATATGATTCAAATTGCCATGTATCTACAGCCCTGCCTAGAAATCTACACGTAGGATATATATATCACAGGCAGGCTACGGAACATCATACTGCGTTACGTGCTGAATACTTCCCTGATTAGTAATGGTTGTGCATATGCTGTGTAAACGGCGGCAGGTGCGACGACCAGCTGATTAGCTCTTTACCGTCCGTTCCCCTGGTCCGGCTGCATCGTGCAGGAAGGAGCGATGGAGCATCCTTTGGGGCCCCAAAAACTGGGTCAAGAAGCGTTAGTTCCTCCCCCCCCCCCCCCCCCCCGCCCCCCCCCGCCAAAAAAACCTGCGTCAACGTCACGTTGCTGCTTGACTTACCATTCCGTTTTATTACGGATGTATGACCCTTCACCCGCACAAACCCCTCGGCTTCTTGTGTTACGCCTCAGCGCTTGACAAAATCGTTGAATTTAGCTTGGACTCACATGTTCGGGCCTTGAGCGTTGGCACGTACACATACGCTACTATTCAATTTCTCTGTTTTCCTCACTGTGCCATGGACTGCTCCTCTTTGATCCGCATTGCATACAAGTGCGGCCTGACATCATACTCGTAGTGTACGAGCAATACATTCAGTGTCCATCGGGAGAAAGAGGAAATCGTCACCCGCCACAACACCATGGTAGACGACCGCCTGGGACTGGAATCGGCAGCAGATAATCGCCGGGAACCTGGTTCACGGACCCCCGTACAGGGGCTTGGAACCGACCCCCAAGAAGCCGGCGACGACCACGGCACTCCCCCGAGGCCTACCAAGAGATGCAGAACAATGGCCGGTGGTGACGAGGATTGCAACGCCAGCTCCGAGGCACCCGGGAAGCGATCATGGCTTGAGGGAGCCATTCCGGTTGAGATATTCGGAATCATTACCTCGTATCTCACTCGCGCCGACGTCAGGAACCTCCGTCTTGTTTGCCAGGAATTCGACAGGCAGGTTTCAGTCAAGTATTTCAGAAGTGTTGTCGTGCCTTTCCGATCTGAGCTTTACGGTAAACAACACCCTCAGAACGGCATAGCACGTCCCTCCAACTCTCTGTTCTACGATGGCATGCGCATCTTCCAGACATTCGGCCCCCACATCCTCCGCTTTGCTCTGTCTCTCGAGATCGACTACAGTTCGCTCGCGTACCCGCCAGTGAAGCTCACCCAAGAGATCGTTCCCTCGTTCTGGGGGATCTACCGCTGGCCACACGGATCGTACAGCCGCTACTTGGACCTCGAGGGCATCGAAGAGACTGCCGACGAGACGCTGGGCATGAAGGAGGCTCTCCGCTGCCTGACAACCGTCACAAACCTTGGTCTCTATTGCGATGCAGGCCTCGGTTGCATTGGCTCTCATCAGGATTATGTGCGGGCCGCCGCAAGCAGAGCAGGGCGGACGCAGCATCCGACCTTTGCTTCCTTTGCTCCGGCGGAAAACGAGCCGGGATCCCGGGACCGCCGCGACACTGTCACCGTTTCTAATGCAAACCTTCTGCGTCGTGCGAGCAGGGATGACACAAATGGTATTGCCCAGCACAACTACACGATTCTCAAGAGAATGGCTTGCGGCGCAGGGTATCGTGACGCCCAGGCTGATGAGGCAATTCGGCTCCTTCTCAATACTGAAGGTATCGATATAGAAGCCCTCTACCTAAGCACAGATCCCTTCCCTAGCTCTAATCCTGGAGACTATGACACCGGATACAGACGGGGGCAAAGTCAAGGCGAAGATCCTCGAGCTGTATTGGATCTTGAGGCCTTCCATGAGCATGGCTTTCTACCCGCCGACCCCCCTGCCGCCCCCAACATTCCTCAACATCAACACCAACAGCTGGATCAGCAACTGCAAGCGCAGCTACCAATGAACCTTCGGTTCAACACACTCTTCTCCGCCCCTTCTTCCCCCCGAGCGACGGCCACACCACTCACGCAGGCCCAAAAGGAGCTACTTCTGGAGCTGGGATGGGCTCATCGAGCCATGATCCAATCATACGTCATCTCCATGATAGACAATTCCAGGGCTGGCCTTCTCGATAACCTCACAACGTTGACGATAGCCAAGATACCGAGCTGCCATCTCAACATTCTCTACAATGACCACCTGTGGCAGAATATTCCTAGCCTGTCCAACGTGTCATTGGCTGTGATTGCAGACTGGCGGAAGATCTCGAAGCGACACGATTCAACCATTGAAGATGCCCCTGTATTTCCCGTTGAAGCGGTCCCCGGCGTCTACAAACTTCTCAACGAGTATATCAGTCGGCAGCCCGGGATAAAGAGCTTGCACTTCGAGTGGATATGCGGCGGCGAATTCGGCCTCGGTGCCTACCAGCGCAACCAGCATGTCCTCCCGGCACCCTTCTTTGCGGACCCGCAAGACATGGTCTCGGCCACTGGTGTGTTGGAGTCACTCGAGAGGCTGTTGAGGCTGCCACACATCCAGCACCTGTCTCTCAATAACTGCTGGATTTCGCCCCAGGTCTTTCTCCAGATGATGCGTCAGATGGGATTGTCATCGCTTGAAAAGCTGGCGCTCGAATCAGTGTCCCTTACCGGACCCCCGAGCCTCACACCTCAGGTGTGGTACGCAAACCCTCGGAATCTACCGGGCCTTCTGCTCAACAACCCCCCTTTGCCTGCGCCCATGGAACATGTGCCGCTCGGATATCCCGCAGAAGGGACAATGCCATATGAGCAAGGAGATCAGGTACATGGAGGCGGTGGCCCTGTGGAGTCTGTTGAGCAAACGCAGTCCCCCTTCCCCTACTGGTTCTTGTGGTCCGCACTGCTGGAACACTTTTCCCCCCGCCGCCGCGACCATTTGAGGAGCAGGTTCCGCGGAAATGCCACCACGGCAACCAGCGCTGCGGAGACGCATGACCAGTGGTGGGAGCGGTCACGCATCATGTCCTTTTCACGGCGCTTTGTACCTTGTGCGAGCCAACTGGGCAGGGATGAACTGCACTATCGGATCAAGAACATATCCGTAAAGTCATGCGGCTACATCGGTGTCGATGCTCGCCACGTCCTGACGAGAAGCCTGTTGCCGCGTAACATTTACCACCTACCCGAGGAATCCAGGAGCGGGGTCTACAGGGCCATCAACGACATGGTACTGCGGCCGCAGGACAAACTGCTCGGATGTATCATACCCTACATCCAACCCAGCGAGGTCATCAGCTTAACTGAACTAGGAATGATTTTTGGTTGGACAGGCGTTTACAGCCGAGCCATGGTGGACGAGGCCGTGGACGACGACATCCTGCGCCCAGGCAGTGGCCGATTCACCGGCGTTCTCGAGACTACCGGAACCTAGGAGGGTGTTTTTCGTCTTGTTCCCATTGCCATTTTTTCCCCTTGCTTTGCTTTGGCTTTTAGTTGCATCTCATGTTGATACCTAACAATGCGCATTGTGTCCGCGTACTCTGCCAATTTCGAGGAGCTTTTCTTGGACAATGGATGTCGGAGTTTGGGGCATTGGGGCTATTGATTACAAATTGCATGCTTTCATTTTTATACCTGGAGTATGCGGACTTTCTGTGTGAAGAGAAGGGGTTAACATGAAAATCTGCGTATGAGAATAGGAAACAATGCTGCCGTATCACTTGGAAATGGGCAGGGTACTACTACAAAGCAGACATATACGTAGGATTGGAGATTTCCTTTATTCGGGCACTCGCGATGAATCAGAAAGCCCCGGCTATTCTCCCTTGCAACCCACTCCTTTATGCCATATGCCTTTTGATAGAGTGAAAGATGGCTGGGATAAGAGAAGGGATAGTATGTCTTGTAACAGCCGAAAGGGGGGGGAGAACGGAGTGGGAGAGATGAAAACGGGAAAATGTTGCCTTTTCCACGACTTAAAAAAGAAAAAGAAAAACTCCCTCGGCTTTTTTTCTTCTTTTATTAAAACAAAAAAAAACAGACATCATTTAAATCCCTTTCTTTTTGAAAAGTTCATCGTTAGGCCCCATCATTCGATCTTTTCTCAAGTAGACTTTTTCTTTCTTTTTTTTATTCATTTCATCATCTCTTCTTTTTTTTAATGTTGTTCCCCGAGAGAGAGAAATCAGTCAAGGTAGTAAGGGAAGACAGAACGAAGTTTAATATTGAATCTATGCAGCGGTAATGGCCTGGCGGGTACGGGCACCACGCTGCCTCGAGTTGAGGCGGACCTCCTCACGACCAACGACCTGCTCGGACTTCTGGACGACCTCGTCACCCTCAGTGAGGATGAGCTCGATGTGGCAGGGGCAAGACATGTAGGGGTTGATCTGGGATTTGTCAGTTGATTGATCGAGTATGGGGGTAGAGGGGAGAAGAGAAACGTACACGACCGTGAGCACGGTAAGTGCGGCGACGTTGCTTAGGAGCCTGGTTGACCTGGATGTGCTTGACAATCAGGGCACCGGTGTCGAGACCCTTGGCATCAGCGTTGGCCTCGGCGTTCTTGAGGAGACCGAGGAGGTACTCGGCCGACTTGACGGGCCAGCGGGCCTTGGAGACACCCCACTGCTTGCCTGTTGGGAAGATGTCATGTCAGATTGAGATTTCTTTTCTCTTCTTTTTCTTCCTTGCAAGGAGAGTCTAATCGCTGTATTGCTGAGACTTTATGACATACCCTGGGCGGTACGGCCGATGGAACCGGCGTAGCGGCGGAAGGGGATAGCCTCGGTGTGCTGCTTGACGTTCTCGAGGAGGGTGATGGCGCGCTGGAGCTTCCAGCCGTTGATGGCCTGGGCAGTCTCGCGGGTGTTCTTGAACGAGACGCGGAGGTAGGAGCCGCGGGCGCGGGCCGACTTGGCGGACTCAATCTCGGTCGCAGCGTATCGCACCTAATTTGTTTTCAAACCATGTCAGCTTTCTTGTTCCGTATCTCTCATTTTCATTTTTTTTGGCTCTTTGTCATCGTGTGTGTTCGCAGTGCATCCAGATAAAGAAGAAGAGTGAACAGTCCGGGGTTGTTGAAGAAGAAGGGTGCATGTATATGTATGTGTGGCCTTTTGGCACAGAAGGAAGAGAAGAGATGTGGAAAATCTCATCACACAGACAACACAGGCGAAAGAGTGGACGTTTGTGTTTAAAGATCCATCTTCCCCATCTCTTCCTATCTTCTAACCCCCCCCCCCCCCCCCCCCCCCCTCCCGCGGCAATGTCACGACGTTCCTTCTTTCCTGTTCGAACTGGACGTAGAGAACACACGCTCTCTTTCAAGAGATATCTCGAGATAGAGACGAAAGGGGTAAATGGCAATCACTCACCATCTCGTCGGTATTGGTGGTTGTGGTGGTGACGGGGATTCGGTTCGACGTCGTCGTGGGCGGCTGAACTGAGAGATGGAGGAATTCCAACTTTTTGCCCTAAAGGTGCCTTTGCTTCCCGGGGGGTGGACAGACCACACAAAAAAGTCGCTTATCCACTTTGGGGTATTTTGTTAGGGCTTAGCTGCCCTGCGATTTTTTTCTGCAGGTGCAATGCAGTGCAGCTGTCCAGAGGGTGCGCAGGGTCTCTCACCCCAAGAGTAGAGAATTCCGGAAAACGTCTATCAAAAAAGGACTGCACGTGAATCAAAAAAAATCTATCATTCCTCCTAATGAAACAATTCCTTTTTTTTCTCGAACGGTCTGACTTTTCTCAGATCAATTGATGTGATTTCTTCCGTAGTGATAAAAAAATATTGTGCACACTTCACTTACAATCGTCGCGTAAGTCACATGACCTTACTAGAAACCAACTTCTAAGTCACGTGAACGCCACTTTGTCATTTTTGGAGGGGCAGACTTGTCAGCAAGACTGTGGCAAACATTCGGGATAAAGTTTATCCTTAAATCCCCACTTAATAATCGGAATTGGGTGGGAACACGGCCGCCAGCGGCAGAAAAAAAAAAGCTTCAGAAATTTTTCTTCCGCCTCGAGGAAGAAAAAAAGCGTCAAAGGCCCTTGCACCCAGCAACATACCTCCGTACAAAGATTTGCCCTGTCAACATCCACTCCCGACAGAACAATCAGCCCTGTTACCCTCTTGTAATACAAAGAGCAACAGGATAGTCTGGGCATCAATCTTCCCATCATCTATTACTACTAAACCAATTGCTCTCTCCGATTGAGCAATCTTTTCTCGGAGCAGACCCCCTCCCTCACATCTATACATCTCTTGATCATGCCTCCCTTCGGTGGACGTGGTGGTGGTCCTCGCGGCGGTGGCCGTGGCGGTCCTCGTGGAGGTGCTCGCGGAGGCTTTGGCGGTGGTGGCCGTGGAGGATTCGGTGGTGGTGGCCGTGGAGGAGGCTTCGGCGGTGGCCGTGGTATGTTTCATCTCTTCTCCTTCTCCTTCTTCTCCTTCTTCTCCTCCCACTGCGGATTCCCATCATCTATCCTGAGGAGAGTCCTTCTACATCGTCGATGTTGATGACGGCGATTGATGAGAACTTGTATGCTGACGAGGGATGATCGGGATAAACAGGCGGCATCGGAAAGGGTGCTCCCCGTGGCCGTGGCGGTCCTCGCGGCGGCGGTCGCGGTGGCCGTGGCGGAGGTGCCCCCGGACAGAAGGGCGGCGCCAAGGTGATTGTCGAGCCTCACCGTCACGCGGGCGTGTTCGTGATCCGCGGCGGCAAGGAGGACGGCCTGGCCACGCGCAACATCACGCCCGGCGAGTCGGTGTACGGCGAGAAGCGCGTGTCGGTGGACGAGACGCAGCAGAACGACGACGGCACCACGACGACGACCAAGGTCGAGTACCGCACGTGGAACCCCTTCCGCAGCAAGCTGTGCGCCGCCATCGCCGGTGGTGCCGACGACATCTACATGAAGCCCGGCTCGCGCGTCCTGTACCTGGGCGGCGCCTCAGGCACGTCCGTCTCCCACGTCGCCGACCTGGTCGGCCCCACGGGCTACGTCTACGCCGTCGAGTTCTCGTCGCGCTCCGGCCGCGACCTCGTCGGCATGGCGTCCAAGCGCACAAACGTCGTCCCCATCGTCGAGGACGCCCGCCAGCCGGCCCGCTACCGCATGGTCGTCCCCATGGTCGACGTCATCTTCGCCGACGTCGCCCAGCCCGACCAGGCCCGCATCGTCGCCATGAACGCAAACTGGTTCCTCAAGGCCGGCGGCGGCGTCCTCATCTCCATCAAGGCCAACTGCATTGACAGCACCGCCCCCGCCGCCGAGGTCTTCGCCAACGAGGTCCAGAAGATGCGTGCCGACGGCATCAAGCCCAAGTACCAGCTCACCCTGGGTAAGAGATTTTCTTTTCCCTTATCCCCCCCCCCTTTTTTTTCTCTTATTATTTTTTACCACTTCCCTCTACCTCCCAACTCTTCTCCCTCTACCAATCATGTCTTGCTAACCAACATCAACCCTGCAGAGCCCTTCGAGCGTGACCATTGTCTCGTCGCCGGTATCTTCAACCGTATCCAGAAGTCGACCTAAGAAATAATACTGCACGATGATGATGACAGAAAAGGAGACATGTCCGAGTTCAACCTACCCTGCATGAATCAAACATACGCATGGCAGGTTGAGCTCTTCCCCCTCCCTCTCTCCTCGTCCTTCTCTCTTTTCTCTCCCTCCCTCTCTCTCTCCCTCTCTCTCTCTCTCCATCTCGACAAAGAAGAAAAAAAATCATTTCCAGGATTGTTATACCGCCATTGACAAGTCTTTCTGGGTTGTGTGGTCTCCAAAAAAGGTGTTTTTCTAAACTTTGGCACTCCTCAATCTCGAGGTGAGGCATTGCTGTCAACACTGAACATTGGGGGTTCTTTATCAAGCAAAAAAAAGGGGGGGCTCCGTGACGATGGCTCGTCTTTTGCTTCTTGTTCCTTCTCCCACACAGCAATATACAATCAGGCGCGGGAGGCGTTTGGGTCTTTTCAGGTGTGGTTTTCCACTTTTTTGTATCGGGTTTTTTTTTCCATTACTAAAACCTACTCTGTTCCTTTTTCTTTCTCTCTCTTCTCTCCATGTTTACGCATTGCTTCTTCTTCCTCGTCGGATCTTATCGTTGATAGTGTCTCTTTTTTTTTTCTCATTTAGGCGTCACGATCAAATGTGCAAAATCATCTTCCTAAAAGAAAACCCTCCTCTAGACTCCCGAGTGTAAATACGATTTTCCCGATTCCATACAGAGTTGTAACTGTAACACCTCCACATGGACGATGTGTTTTCTTCTCCCCCAAACTTCGAACCCTCCCATCTCTCCTCCCAATCTTCCGCAAAAAAAAAAAAAAACACGTTTGTGACCTAGACTATTACACGTACGCAATGCAAGAAGCAAAGCAATGAATACGTTGTCCTCCTTCTCCTCACTCTGTATGGAAGTCGACGGCGCGTAGAGCACTCTCCCGAGTCTTCATGCCCAACGAGTCCCCCGTGATGTATGATGTGGAGTATTCGTACATGGGGGAGGGGCAGCTTCTTGGACAGGCAATTCCCACGTAGTTGTCAGTGGGTAATGGTGGTTATCGATGTGTAGAGACACGGAGACTGGGCTCAACAGGAGATAGATTGAGAGAGAGAGAGAGAGAGAGAGAGAGAGCGTGTGTATGAGAGAGAGAGTGTGTGTGTGAGAGTGAGAGAGAGAGAGATAATACCACCTTTGACCGATAGCCACGCACTTCGCAAGACTATGCATCGTGACGTTTCCATCAGTCACATCTTGCAGAAAATCGTCTAGAGTACGACCCAGACCCAGGACTCTCTCTCGCCATGCATGCTGTCTATGGTGTCACCGGGTCCTGTCATGCATGCTGTCAAGGGGATATCTTCAAGACAGCATCATGCTAGTCGTATCAGTCTGTAGTCTACCATGACCGTGATGTTTGTCACCTTCTTACTCGACACGTCTCCCGCGACTGTTTGCTAGAACTCTTCACTTTCAAATCCCACAATTACATAGGACAGCCCGAACAAGAAGCGAGGACAGCCCGATATATGCAAAGAAAGAATGGAGCCCTATAAGAGAACAAGAAAAAAAAGTCACCTGCCTCAAAAAAAGTCGCCAAGGAAACAGACACTGCATCGAAACGTGGAGAAGACAGAGGAAAACCCCCCCCATCTTCCTTTTCAACCGTGCGTCTTTCCTTTCCACCCTTCCTCAGAAGTCAACGGGCCCCATTGTCATGTCGATTCCATCTCTCCCTACTGGTTCCTATCCTTGCATATGTCGACTGGGCACTTCTCCGATTTTCGCAATCTTCTCCCCCTCTCCCCCAAATCCCGTCAAATCATATCTGTACACACAAAGAAGAGGAGGAAGAGGAGGAAGTGCGGAGCTCCTCCCTCTCGCTCCCTCTCCTTGGGCTTTACCATCCGTAATATGCAGAGTCGATACCTTTTATTTTTATTTTTATTTTTTCCGGTTTTTTTTCCTTTCCTGTTAATAGATACATTGAATAGTTGATATTGACTAGCTGTCATCGACTCCGCAGCTCTACTGTGTGCGCCTCTTGCATTTTTCTACGGAGTACAAGAGAGTATAACTTGCAGGAGGATGGGAGGACGGGAGGACGGAGACAAATTCCGTTGTTGGCCGTACGCATGCGGTGCGAGATGCCACGCGGCTGGTCTGTGAGCCGCGTCTCGGCACCCGCTCGGAGCATCTTCTCACGATCAAGACTTCTGTCGTTGCCACCATCACCTCGAGAGCATGGGCACAACGTATTCTCTCCGGAGCCGCTTCGGTTTCCCGACTTTCCCGCCGGTCCCAGGGAATGATGATCGATGAATGTCCCGATGCAACTGCTCGTACAAGCATGTAACATGTCCTCTTTTGCTAGGTCCAGCCCACCAGTGGTCGGTGCGCGAAAACGTCGGTGAGTCGCTCGTACATACGATGAGATGCCCATCCCTGATTGATAGTCAGGCTCTCGGTTGCTGTCTATCATGCATGTTCTCTCTGATAGATTGGGTCATCTCCTCTCCCACTCTTGCTCGGCAAGGAACCGTCTGTCCTGATGCGACAGCATCTGTCCACCTGCATCTGATTCCGGGAAGAGAGGGGTTGGGGTTGGGGTTGGGGTTGGGGTTGGGGTCGGGTTGGACTGGTTGATGTCGGCTGATGTAAGAGTTGGCGCTCAGCTCCAGAAGAATACCGAACATCATAATACCTCGGTCACCGCCAGAAAAACTACAAGAGGACGTACGGAGTATGGAGTACCAGCATTGTTACGGATCTCAGCAGCAGCCGACAAACCCCTGAGACCGCCGAATTCCTTGGTCGATACCAGCAGTATTCATACTTCGCCTCGGCCCTCGCTTCAGGGGGGGCCATGGTGACGACACACCGAGAACGGTAGGACATGCCGAGAGAGAACGTCAGTGTCTTCGGGTCTAGGATGGAGAACGTGGAACATGTGCCAGCTCGAACATGAAGTGTCTTTCTGTTCTCGAAAGTACGAATCACGAAAACAGAGATCAAATTACCGGAACCTCGTCTTTCCATTGTCACCCCATTACCCGATCCCGGCATGTAATACAAGTTGCTCGTACGACAACGTGGGCATAACCGAGGCTTCGAAAACCCTGCCGGATCCCCGGACATCCCCCCCATCCCCCCCCTCCTCCCCAAAGAAACGATGCGAGGAAGCCTGTTGTGGACGCACGAGTACATCATACCATGGGACGAACACAGACAGCAAGCATGCCATCATGGTATTACTCCGACACTCACGAGCATGTAACAATACTCAAAGACTTTACGTACAAAGGCGCAGGATTCAGGTGACATGCGAGCCATGCGGCCGGGGTCATCCATGGAGAAGGAGAGAGGAAGTGAGTGAGTGGGTGTCAGAATTCATTCCCCCCCCCCCTTTTTTTTTCTGGACTCGCCTGTGCTTTTTTTTTTTTTGGATCTGCCCTGGGGTGGGAAGAGGGTACGGGTAAGCTGTACGTCGTATTGGGAAGGTCGAGGTCAGTACACGGTACCAACGCTCTGGACACGGATCTGATAATAAGACGACCCCAGTAATACAACGACATGCACAACGCACTCTGTTTTCGGTTCCCCGACCCCTGCTGCTGGGGGCTTGGATCCAGGGAGGTTTCTGGATTGCCCTGAATTGAATTTTTCTTTCATTTGGAATGCTTCTTTAGTTAGCACCAGTATTGAAATAGTGTGAGGGAGGCCTGTCAGGTAGAGAGTAGCACTGCGCACAGTGTTGCCGGTCCGGTGGTTGTCACATTTCTCGAAATTTCCTCTTAATCTAAAAGATCTTATCAGATCCATCTCGGGGATCCGGAAACGGTCTCACCAGGCAGGCAGCAAACAGAACAGAGTTTTCATATTGCTTGTCTTTTCTGCTACGGGGTACCCTGAATAACACGCTAGAATATTCTGTCGCACAGGGTCCCCCCCCCCTTCTGTCTCAGTCTCACCCGACACAAGGGATATGCCTGGTTCATTAAGGGGCTGTGAATGCGAGCAGCGCAATGGCGTGTGGTACGGGTACAGTGGTAAGAGGGATTCGTACTTGGCACGTACCTGGTACGGATAGCATGCATCCACGGAGCAACAATTATTCTAGGTCTAGGAATGTCGTCATGATAGCGTCAGTGAGCAGGTAGTGGTTGAGCTTGGTAGCAGTAGCGATAGTAGTAACGATGATGGTGATGGTAATCTGTACATTTGATAATGATGACGGATAGAATAAAATAAAGAAGTGTATCACCCAACGGAAAGAAACCCCGATATGCACAGTAAATACAAGGCTGGATGCAAATACCGAATGGGGAAGTACATTGAGCACACTGCCACACGCACACGCACACATGCACACACATCGGCAAGACGGGGTGGTATTCCGTGTCATACTTGGTGCAATACGTGGATGGGTACTCATACGTCCGAGATCGGCAGAGGGGGTTATTCTACTCCCAAGAACCGAGATTACTCCGGAGTACAGATTGATAGGATTGGATTGATAAGATTCTAGGATCAGATAACGGGTTACGGGAAAAAGCAAAACAGAAAAAAAAGGAAGAAAAAAGGGGAGAGGGAAGAAGAGAAGACGAACAAGGTTGGTAAAATGAAAATCATGGAACAGAGAGAAAGTAATAAAAAAAGAAACGTTCCCACACACCGCAGAAGAAAGAGAGAAGAAGGTAGAGATGGTCTGGATGGATCCGATTGGACATGAAAGATTCCCTGCCGTTTCATTATTTAATGGTTAATATTTCTTTTTATTTATAAAAAATAAAATAACATAAAAAATCTAGTCTCTTAGAAATGGGAAACAGAGTCGTACGAGTACGAGCGTGTTGGCGTGCGACCCTTTTTGACGACCCCCCCCCCCCTCCTCCTCCCCCATCAAAAAAGCAGTCGGAAGATTAGAAATGGAACGAATAGAAATGGACGCCAGCAAAAGAAAGGAGGAGAAGAAGAAAAGAAGTAGATGGAGAGGGACGGAGAAGAGAGAGGATGACAGAAAGAAGGGGTCTATTGGATGTGGAAGAGGGCACATGACCTGGAGAGCATGCATGAACAGTGGGGGGAGGGAGTGGTGTTTTCTTTTTATTCTAGTTTATGGAGTAATATCTAATGCCTAGGACCAAGTAAGCAAGGAACTATGGAGTATAATGTACAGAGTCGAAAAAAAAAAAAGGGGGGAAAAAAGGGGGGGGGGGGGGAAAGATTCAAGAGTGGGAGTTGGGGATCCCGAGGATGCGGGTGGGACGGGTAAAGGCAGAGCAGGAAGAAAAATCAAATCGGCCAAGACCGCTGGGGAGATGGGACGGATGACGGATATGGGCGACATCCTATCGCTCGTATTCGGCATCCGGAAACGCTGTTTTCCCCTTGGACGATTGGACGATGGCGTGTTTTCATCTGAGTCTGTTGGGAAGGGGGTATACATGATGCAGGTGCTCCTGCGCACGAGTGTTACTGTTCTCTCTGCTCTAATAACGGATTTACACGTCCTGGTATGGTGGAGGAACGCACGATTGGACGTCCCGGTGCAGAATCTCTGATGAGTGATGAGTACAGTTACCGTACGCTGAAGGACAGAGGCCGATCTGGCCTGATTACTGGCCTGATTGACCTGATTGATAAAGCGGTACCCTCCCTCCCCCCGGTTCCAAGGCGTCATCCCTCCTCTTCATCCTCCAATAGAAGAATTCACTCCGCACTGTCATAGAGAAAGGGGGCAAGAGACGAGGAGCATCATGATGACTTGACACTATTCTTCTCCCTCCCTCCTCTTTCTCTCCCAACCACGACTGTACCTGCATTCATCCTCACATCACTCCCTCACATCGGTAGAGAGTCATGACTCGACGCGGCTGGTATCCGGCCGCGCTGCGCGCAGGTGCGTTGCGCTCTGCTCTCCCACCCTCTCGCCCCCCCCCCCCCCCCCCCCCCCCCCGGAACACTCTGCCCCTGCACAGCGCTGTTCGGCGGGTAGTGGTCAGTGACGGTGACGTGGTTTTAGTGGTTCCGGCGGTTGAGGTCAGTGCCCGTCCACGGTCGGGCAGTGCCTGTCCCAGCGTGCCCAGGCGGTGCCAGTGGCGTGTCCCTCTCCCCTGTACGGCGTTGATGTACGGAGTCTGTGCACCCCTCCCGTTTCCGGGGCTGTTCCCTGTAACCCCCCCGTAGACACCTGTAATGGGTCCCCTGTAAAGGATGCTGCACGTGCGCTGGAGGTGTTGCCTACGGTAGAGATGGTGCATCGGGGCTTCGGCGATGCTCGGTCAGAGGGGGGACGGGTACAGCATGTCATGATGCCGTCGACAGACAATCGGACGATCTGTCTATCTGTTCATGTATTTCCTCTGTACATGTAGTAGTAGGATAGTCCGAGCAGATGATAGAAGAAATGATGATAAAAAGGGGGGGGGGGGGGGGGGGGGTGGGAGACAAGGCAAAATCGGAATGATACCCGGATGATTGAACAATCCCCCGGGTCGTTGGGATTATCTGCTGGGACCACTTCTGGTACCATCAGCAGACGATGTACACAGTGTGAATGCCCCCACATACATCTTGCCCTTTGATTCAATCATCTTGGGACTCTCTCTTTTTTCTTCTCTGTCTCCGGCCGTCGGGCTTCGGTGCTTGCCATGACCTGCTTATTAACAGGTAGTGGCAGCCTCTACTCCGACTCCAACTTTTTTTTCTTTTTCCCTTGCATCTTTTCCCAGATTTTTATCGTATTACCACTATTGCTCCCTGCTTGTCTTGGATGTACCTTTTGTTTCCTTTATTCCTCCTTCATCCACCTCCCACACCACACCACCACAACTTTAAGTTTGGCCYCCCCCCCCCCCTCCTTTCGCTCTCCTTATTTCTTTCCCTTTCCCTCCTTCCTTCTCCTGTCTCACAAGACTTGTTTTCTTATCAATCTCTTCCTGATATCAATCAGTCATCCTTCCACCATTTCTTCTCAACCTCATGTCCTCGTCCCCCGTACACTTGGTTCTCTCTCTCGTTTCCTGACACCACCACCACCTCCTCCTTCCCTTCTTCCCACACCGGTAATACACCAGCGACACCCCTGTCCATTCCTCCCCAGCGCGCCCTACCACCAACCCACTTTACGCCAGATCACCACGTATTACCTGCCCCGCGACGCCACTCTCTCGACCTCACCACCGTTCTCTTCCACCACCACCGCTACCGGTAATAGTCTGCAGCGTGCCGCCCTCACACGCAAGCTCCTCACCGCACCCGTCACATCTGTCGGCCTTCCCACCACAATCACAATCACAACCACAGCCACCGCCACCATGACTCCGGTGACGGTCCCCGTTCACGACATGGTCGCTTCCGTGGCAGAGAGCATCGCCAACGAGCAGAAGGCCCCCTCCATCGCCCCGTCCCTCACCTTCTCCGACGACTCAGAGGACCAGGACGAGCTGCCAAAGGCTCCCCCGCAAAAGTCCCGTCACCGTCGTGCCTCGACTAGGTTGATTGCCCAGAATGCTCGCGACATCCAACGCATCACCGGCGAGACGACGGCCGAGTTCGTCCAGCGCTGCTGCGGAGGCGGCTGCTGCCTGGGCGGCTCCACCAAGCGCCCCGGCATCGTGGTCGAGCAGCCCGACAACGAGGCCTACCGATCTCTCGGCCTCGCCATCAACGAGATCCCCCTCACCCTCACCAAGGTGCCCGACCTGCCCGAGTCCACCGTCTCGTTCATCCCCATAGCCCGTCCCGCAGTCGACTCCCTCTCCATCCGCCCAGCCCAGGCCGCCCAGGCCGCCCAGGACTGTTCGCCAACCGACTCGGCCGTGTCCCTCGGCAGCGGGTCGCAGTCCCCCGTCTCCGAGACGGCGTCGGCAGCCGATGAGGAGAAGACGGAGGGCGAGTCCGAGCACGACGACGACGACGGCAACAAGGATGAGCCGACGATGACGTCGATGGCCAGCTGCTTCGTGCCCGTCGACACAGCCATCCAGCCCCCGCGCTTCGTCCAGCCTCACCCGCCATACCACGTGCACCCGGTCAGGATCCACAACACGCGCGAGCTGACCAAGCCCGGGGCCGAGAAGCGCACGTACCACTTCGACCTAGACATCACCGACTACCCCAACGAGGACGGGTCCGATTTCGTGGTGGGCGGGGCGATCGGCATCATGGCGCCCAACAGCGACGACGTGGTGGAAGACGTCCTGGACACGCTCATGGTGCCGCGGTTCCAGCGCGACAAGCCGGTGCTCATGCGGACGACCAAGGGCCGGTGGCCGACGGTGTGGGGCGACGAGAAGGCGCGGTCGCTGGTGACGACGCGCCGGGACCTGTTCCGGTGGACGGTGGACCTGCAGTCGTTCCCGCCGACCAAGGCCATGCTGCGGCTGCTGGCGGAGCACGCGGCGGCCGACAACGAGCGCAAGATCCTCGAGTACCTCTGCTCCGCCGAGGGCCAGGGCGTCTTCTGCGACTTCCGCACGGGCCCCCACGTGTCGGTGTCGCAGGTGCTGCACGCCTTCCCGAGCGCCCACCCGCCGCTGGGCGACCTCCTGTCGGTGCTCCCGCAGCTGATGCCGCGCTTCTACTCGCTCTCCAACGACCCGCACGAGGCGTACGAGACGCACGACGACAAGCAGCACCGCCTGGTGCAGGTGGCCGTGACGGTGCACGAGACGCACGACTGGAAGAGCGGCAAGCGCACGGGCGTCGGCTCGGGCTTCTTCGAGCGCCAGGCCCACCGATTCTTGGAGGAGACTCGGCTGGGCCGCACCCCGGACCTGTACGTCCCCATGTTCAAGGGCCTGATGGCCAACCCGCTGGCCAAGCAGTTCAAGGCCGACGGCCCCATGCTCCTGATCGGCGCGGGCGTGGGCATCGCCCCCTTCCGGGGCTTCGTCCAGCGCCGCCTCAAGCAGGCCAACTGCGCCAACAAGGTCTGGGTCCTGCAGGGCATCCGCGACTCGCTCGTCGACGAGATCTACAGCGGCGAGTGGGGCGTGCATGAGGACGAGGTCAAGCGCGTGGTGCAGAGCCGGCGCGGCGAAGGCCGCTACGTCCAGGAGGAGGTGCGACACCAGGCCGACCTGGTATGGCAGATCGTCAACTCCATCGACGGCCGCATCTTCGTCTGCGGCTCCAGCAGAGGCATGGGCGAGGGCGTCGAGGAGGCCCTCGTCGACGTCGCCATGGCAAAGGGGAACCTGCAGAGGGAGGAGGCCCGTAACTTTTGGGATCTGAAGAAGGAGGCTGGCCAGTACATTGCCGAGACGTGGTGAGCCTGTCACACTTTTCCTCTGGGTGAGGGCAGGGTATTGGCTTTTCCTGCCTCGTTCTCCTCGTCTCTCTCTCTCTCTCTCTCTCCCTTTCAAGTTGCCGTGATGGACGCACACCAATGTCTGACCTGGTCAGCCCTCTTCTTCCTCTCTCTAATCTCTACCTTTCCTATCTCTTCTCTCAACCCTCACGATACACCCAGGGCCCCAAAAATGCTGAGGATGATTCTCTCCAAAAACCCCCACATCGAGAATGACTCTCAAGTCCTCACTTCGAGTCTCATTCTCTCAAGACCCTCGAGGCCGGTTCGACATAGACCCACCTACCGGGCGCAAACCCGAGTCACGACTCAAGACAAAGCAAATACAGGACAGGACAGCATCAGCATCAAGCATGGCGGTGTTTTGCTCTCTACATCTTTCTTCTTCTTCTCTTCATCTCTAATCTTGTTTCTCTCTCTTCCGTCTGGTTTCTTTGGCCTAGGAAACGTTCTGGTGTGATTCTGCTTCTGCTTCTTCTTCTTGACTGTCTTATAGGGGAAAAAAAAATGGAATCGATATAACTGGATATATAAAATTGGATTTAATAGGGTTGGCATTTTTGCTTTTTCTTTTTCGATGTGTTTGCGGTTTCTCTGCTTGTGCTTGTATTAATATATGTCACCGGGTTGCTTCTCAAGTCTTTTTTTCTTTAAAAAAAAGGAAAAAGAAAAAAGTTCTAGACTCTACGGAGTGATACAACCAGTTGGAATAAAAGAATGGTCTGCATTACATCAGAACAACAACACGAGAGCAGATGGCAGATGACAGATGGAAGATGAGAGAATTCTAAGACTATTGATTAGATGTACTCATCGTACCTGCCAACGTAAGAAGAAGAAAATAATGACGTGCGTTTCGGAAAATGTCACGACAATGACACAAGGACGTCCCATCTCTCACCACGACATGCTTTGTCAGACTTGGCAACTGCCTTACAAATATCGGTGGGGACGGTCTTGTCTTTCACTGGTCTTATTGGGGGGGGGTTTCTTATATGATATATATAGATATATAAATATATAGCATATAGATATATAGATATATGAATATACCATATAGATATATAGATATATGAATATACCATATACAACCCTTGCTTGTCTCGAATGTCAAGCAGATATTAGCACCCGAGTCAATAGCAGGTGTTTGTTTGCCCGATGGCTTGGGTATTGTTGTATCCGGGCAGTCTGAATTGGTTGGTTTACCCGGGGATGAACCGGGTAATCATTTCCTTCGCAACAAGGTAAGGAAAATGCGTAAAATAGCGTCATGACGAGTAAATTGATGTGTGTTTGTTATTGATGTTCCTGCAGGCTTCATCTATGACTACGAGGGATAAGGTGCGTCATTTCTGTTCCTTTGGTGTAGGTGATCCGGAACGGAACAACGCTCATTCCGACACAATCTCTCATCACGTGCCACATCCCTGGCCACGTCCGAGACCCCCACACACCTTCATGGCTCTAAATGTAATATTACTCCCAACGTCTCTCCATCGAGTATCTCATCTCTCTTGAACATGCCTACTGTCCTCGCAAGAGTCATTACAGGGAAGATGACAAGGGAACCGTTTTCATGACAGGGAATTGTGTATGGCTCCACTTATATGTTATCATCTTCCGAGCGGATCGATAAGGCCTAATGTGACGAGCACGAGAATGCTTGTGCTATGTAAGACAACGAGTACGAGCGCGAGCACGAGCGCGACGGAATATAAAATTGAATATTATCATATAATGCTCGCTCGGCCTTCGGGTTTAGAGTGTTTTGTGTGTAGCCTACTGCCTGTATTTCCGTCAACATGTAAGAAGATGTTTAATTGAATATCCCCCCCCCCCTCCCGGACTTTACTTTTTTTTTTGTTCTTAATAGACAAATCACAGACAAATCACAGACAAGAGACACAACTCTCTCCAGAGGCAGAAAATCAAGATCAGGAAAAAAAAAAAAGCCATACAACACACACACATTCTCTCCCTCTCTCTCATCCCTTCCAAAAAAAAATGTCCAGACTATCGACAGACATGTTCCTGAACATGGTCCGGCACCGCCGCTCAGTCTATCCCCTAACTAAGGACCTGGGCAGCGTGACGGCGCAGCGCATCCTGTCCATCGTGAGCGAGACGGCCAAGCACACGCCGTCGGCCTTCAACCTCCAGGCCAACCGGACGCTCGTCCTCTTCGGCGCCGACAACGACAAGCTCTGGGAGGAGACGCGCGACATCCTGCGCGGCCTCGTCGCCCCGGACAGGTGGGAGGGCACCTCGGCGCGCATGGACATGCTCGCGGCCGCGGCCGGCACCGTCCTCTTCTTCCGCGACGAGCCCACCCTCCAGGCCGGCAGGGACAGGCTCCCCGTCTTCGCCGACAGGCTCGCCGGCTGGGCGGACCAGGGACTGGGCATGCAGCAGTGGATCACCTGGACCGCCCTCGAGCTCGAGGGCCTCGGCGCCAACCTGCAGCACTACAACCCGCTCGTGGACGGCAAGGTCAGGGAGCACTGGGGCGTGCCCGACGGCTGGGTGCTCGACGCGCAGCTCGTCTTCGGCGGCAGGGTAGAGGGCCACGAGCCGGCCGAGAAGTCGTTCGTTCCCGTCGAGGATAGGGTCAGGAGTTTTGGAGCGTAGACGGGCGGGATAGGTTGATTATTAGACTCGTTCGTATCTTCTTCTTCTTCTTCTTCTATACAAGGACGGAATAACTATAATTACACATCATGTTCTGATAGAGTATCGTGTTCTGATAGAGTATCATGTTCTGACGGAGCATCGTGTTCTGACAGAGCATCATGTTCTGATATGCAAGGGTGCAGGCACCTCACTCAATCACCCTACCTAGGGCCTGCCCCATCTTGACAGTCTGCCCCTTGTTGACGGCCCACTCCCAGCCCTTCGTCTCCCCGTCGGCGCCCTTCGCCTCGGCCGGAGCCTCGAAGACGAGCACGACGGTGCTCCCGAGCTGGAACCCGCCCATCTCGTCGCCCCTGCGGAGCGCGTGGCCGCCCAGCACGCGGCTGGCGCCCCGGAACGATGCCTCGGCGAACCCGAGGTAGGGCCGGCCGGCGCGCGAGGCCTCCTCGGCCGCCCTGTCGGCCGCCGTGTCCGTGGTGAGGCTGTTGGTGCGCAGCTCCCGGTCGAAGTTGACGACGATGGACCCGACGTTGGTCGCGCCCACCGGTATGTACGAGAAGAAGCCCCAGCGCCAGCGGCCCAGGAGGACGACGCGCTCGTTCAGCGTGAACAGCCCGGGCAGCGTGCGCTGCAGGTACGGCGACACGCTGTACAGCTCGCCCGCAAAGTGGCGCCGCCGCTCGACGACCCAGTTCGTCGGTGAGTGGAACCGGTGGTAGTCTCCCGGCGCCAGGTACACGACTGCGTAGTACAGCGACGTCGACCGCCCCGAGATGACGTCGTGCCACGGCTTGTGCTGCTGCTGCTGCTGCTGCTGCTGCTGCTCGCTGCGCGCGAGATCCGCCCCGACCACGGCTTCGGCCGTCTCGCTCTGCACGGTCGACACGTCGGCCACGGCCTTGCTCTGGCCCGACCCGCTGAGGAGCTCCGGCAGCGTGTACGGGATGCCGTTGACCCTGGCGAACTCCTCGTCGCGCAGCACGATGTCCTCTTGGCTGGAGGCTTCGCGCGTCGTCACCGTCACCGTCTTGCCGTGGCCGCTGCCGTTTCCGTCGTCGCTGGACGGGGAGGACGGGTGGATGGATGGTGTGTTGCTTCCCAGGAGGGCGTCGATGCTGTACGTCATGCCCTTGACCTGTTCGATGTCGCCGCCCTCAATCTGGCCAAATTGGATGACCCGTCCGTCCGACGGGCACAGGAGCACCTGCTTGTCCGGGTGGAGAGGTCGCGATCCGGGCTTGAGCTGTCGGTAGAAGAAGGCCGCTAGGTTGGGGTATGCCCGTAGGTCGTCCTCGGCCACTTCGGCGAGGCTGTGTTGTGGTCTCGTTGTCAGTCAATTGTCCTCTCCCGATTCGCCCTTCTTCTTCCATCCTGTGTGTGTGCGTGTGGATGCGGGTGGTGGCAACATACTTGACGCCGAAAATGTACGAGTACAGCTTGAACCCAGGAACGCGGAGGTAATAGGGAATCGTCAACTGATTGATCCGTCCCCAGAGCCGAGAGATGGCCTTGAGTGGCAGCGTAGACATGACCTGAACCTGCCTGTTTCCCCCTCCCTGTCAGTCTTCCATCTTCCCCGTCACCCCCTTGGGGAGTCTCTGTTACGATCAAGACACACACAAAGGGAAAGGAGGGTAAGGAGACATACCAAGGTCCATCGGGCCTCACTCTCGGCCTCCGTTTCGGCTTCGCAGACTCGGACTGACCATCTTCCTGTGCCTCCTGCAGCTGCTGAGGCTGCTCCTGCGACTGTCCGGCTTCAATCTGCCTCCGGTCCTGGTCCTGCTGTTGTAGCTGCTGCTGCTGCAGCTGCAGCTGCTTCTCCTGCTCCCGCGTGGAGACCTTGTAGATCTGCAGCAGGCCAAGGAAGCCGACACCTAACCCGATGGGTATCTGGTACCACTGCACCTTGCTGTTGCGGAGGGCCTCGCCCAGACGCTGGGAGAAGCGTGGTCCGGCCTGCCTGCGCGAAGACAAGGGGCGTCGTTGTTGTTGCTGTTGATACTGGCAGCGTGGCTTGTGCGGCGTCCGACGTGGCAGGATCGGTCGAACTCGTGACGGTGCCATTCGTCTACCTGCTCCTAGAGACAGGGACGCCATGGTGCGTTTGTGGGCTGGATGAGCGTTGTTACTGTCGGTGGTGTTGGTTGTAGAAGAGAGGAGGGGAAAGAGAGAGAGAGAGAGAAGAAAAAAAAACCAATCTCCCTTGCACCCTTTTTTTTTTTTTTTTTCTCTCCTCTCTTCTCTCCTAGACGCGACGACACCCCCCCCCCCCCCCCCCCCCCCCCCCCGAGCGGTACTAATAGGGGATTGGCGATGTGGGGAAGAATGCGACCGGGAGAGTATTGCGCATGTGACGCTGCAACGTACTTTGGTACCAAGGAGACCAGTTTTTTAGACGACGGCAAGGCTTCAAACACCCCACAAAGAATATTTCAAGGACGTTTACCGGGAATATTGACAGGACAGAGGCATGAGAGGTTTTTACATTGCAGTGTAGTATACAGCGACGACGAGGGTATGGCCGCACATTCAACCCATGTTGTGTGGCGTGAGCATGGATCCCCGGGCTTGACAATGGTTCGACCTCCCCACAGCTGGGAAAAGAAAACAACAAACCGTCAGCCTCTCTTCCACGTTGAGTGACCTTGTAACATGCCATGGGGGATGTCGTCTCCCCCTCGCTGGGCGTGGGCTGTTGTGAGATGGTGGCCGTCGTCCATCATCTGGGAGTCACGATACATCGAGAGAGTCTTTGCCGGTGTAATTGTGAGTGAGTCGATATCACGCTGCACGGCTGCTGCTGTCACCTTGTCTTTCTTCTTCCTTCTTCTTCTTCTTTCTTTTTTAATCTTTTTTTTTCGGCAGGACGTTGATGTGAGATGACGGTGCTGGCTGATGATGTGAGAGAACGGAAAGAAGAATGCCTTCGTCGTGAGAAACCAGGGTTCGTGTTCGTGTTGCTTGTCCGCCTACGGAGTAGTTTGACTCCCAATCGCCTACCCGAAACTGCGCTGGATACTGGAAACGGGCATCCGACGCCTTTATGCAATGGTCAGCTGGGCCACCCAAGTGCGGGCCACGCATGATTTTGCATGTCTGCTAGCTTTGACTATCAAGTAACTGCAGTCTATATGAGCAATACCAGTAGCAGTAATGCTCGTGATCCTGATCTGCACAGATGACAGATTACGTATTCGCGTGTGCGATGGTGAGTGTCATGGACTGAGCACAACAAAGGCGTGTCTCATGCTGAGGCGATATCGGCGAAGAGTGATATTACATAATCAAAGTACAGATTGCAGATTACTCGTGACAGTACTCCGTATTATTACCAGCGAATCGTGATGTACGAGGGTAGGTACCAAGTATTAAATCCACATCCAAGGAGGACTGCTTGTAGCGAGAGTGATGGAATATAATACAGGGTACTACTACGTACCGCTACAGTACGTACCTCTCTCTGTACCGGTGCCTTTGTCCCCCCGTACAGGCCTGTCAGGCGTCTGTAGGGCCTGTCTCTGTCCCTCTGAAGCCCGCGGCGGGCCCTGAGCAGCGGTCCCCAGCAGCGGTCCTTGAGTACATTAGTGGCCCTGAGCGGCGGCCCTGAGCGGCGGCGGCCCTGGCTGATGAGTGACAGCCTGTGAGGCGGCCTGAAGCCACCGTGGAAGATCTTCCACCCTGTCGCTTCGCTTATCCAGTTCCAGGAACCACCACGACGCCAACCCTGATCCCGCAACAGCATCAACAACACCGTGGCCGCACACATACAGATTCCTCGACGCGGCGCAGAAACATCTCAAGCCTCTCTCCCCCCATTATTCCGGTGCAGAGAGAGTTTTCCGCAATCTGCCGGCTGCGTCATGCCCTGTGCTGACCGCCAGTGATTTTGAATCTGGTCTCGGCTGCTCCTTGTTCGCAATAAACAAATATACGCACCCACCCACTCGGCTCTCTCCCCCTCTCTCTCTCTCTCTCTCACACATCCGTCATGGCTTCCTCCTCTTCGCCATCTGGCGGCACCTACGATAAGGACCAGCTCTGCGTCAATCTCCAGGTTGTCTCGCCCTCGGTCGGCGTCACCCGCCCTCTGATCTTCCCCGGACTGCCAGCTTCCACCACGCTCAAGCAGCTCAAGGAGAAGATCCGCCAAGCGCTGCCCTTCCGTCCTACCGACGAGAACCAGCGGCTCATCGCCAGGGGCCGGGCACTGCTACGCGATACCGATACGCTGCTCGACGTTCTCGGAGACGCCATCGTATGTCATCACCCCGACAGCAGTCACGATCGCAGGAACTGGGCCTTTCTATGCTGACAACTCCCGCCTCCAAACAGGTCCGCTCCAACGAGCAGCAGACGATGCACCTCGTCCTCAGGGAGGCGCCTGCGCCGACCGTCACCGCCGCCGCCCCGCGAGACCCGAGCCCGGCTCCCCCGATCGCAGCGTCGCAGCGACCGCCGTCGACTCTCCCGCAACAGCTCGGACCGCAGCCCCCGCCGGGCTTTCCTAGGAGAAACCCGGCCCAGCCCGCCGGCCCCTTCCCCGCGCCGCCGCCCGTGGCCACGCCGCCGGCCCCCAACAACGACGGTCTGCCGGCCGTGCAGCATCAGCACATGTCAAACTGGCTGGCTCAGCTCCAGCGGGACAGCAGGGCCCGCACCGTCGTCAACCAGAACCAGCGCACCAGGGCCATGCTGGGCATGCGCGGCATCGGAGATAACAACAACCCCGGCGGTCAGGAACCCACCAGCGGCAGGGCCAGCCCGGCCCTCGGGCACTACTACCGCGAGACGGTCGGCCCCAACGGCCAGACGTACCAGGTCGAGACCGTCATCCGCGGGTCGGCCGGGGCCGGCAGCGGTGGCGGAGGAGGTCTATCCCCGGCCGACGTCCAGAACATCCTGCGCAACGCCGACCTGGTCCAGGCCACCATGGCCACGGCCAACGCCATGCACCGGAGCGCGTCCGGCGCCTCGCTGCACTCCATGTACAACAGCCGGCCCCTCAACCAGCCCGGCGCCACGACCCCGGCCTACCCCCTCTCTGACTCGAGGGCGCCGAGCGGACGGGCCACACCGGACGCGGGCATGCGCTCCACCAGCGCCGGCAGCGCCACCCTAGCACCCCCGCGCCAGGGAACCGAGGTGTACATCCTGTCCTCCCCCGAGGGGCCCCGGGGCATCCTCGTCAACAACAACTCGGAGACGTACTACACGCCGCGCATACCCGCCCCGGCCGCCAGCTACCTCCGGCCACGGAGCCTCGTCACCACGGTCAGCACGAACCCCGGCACGCCGCACACGGAGCAGCACCTGCAGGCACCCCAGCCAAACCACCAGCATCATCCTCATCATCATCATCATCATCAGCAGCAGCAGCAGCAGCAGCAGCAGCAGCAGCAGCCGCCGGCACATGTGCAGGTGCAGGTGCAGGCCCAGCCCCCGCCACTCCAGGACGGCGTAGATGACCCCGACAACCCGCAGGAGCCCGGTCTGCCGCCACTCCTCCTGCAGGCCTGGCCGCACATCTGGCTCGTGTTCCGGCTGGCCCTGTTCGTCTGGTTCTTCACGTCCCCCCAGGCCAGCTGGGGCCGGTGGCTGTCGGTCATCGGACTGGCCGTCTTCATCTTCGTCGTGAGCATAGGTGCCCTGCAGGGCATCGTCGATGTGGCGCGCAGGCCCATCGCCCAGCACCTGCAGAATGCCGTGCCGCGACTGGAACCGCACCGCCACCACAACCCCCGCGGCGCCGGCAACGACGGAGACGACGACGACGACGACAACAACAATCCTGACCCGGCAAACATGGCTGCCAGGCTGGTGGCCCGGAGGGAGCAGACGACGTGGCTGCAGAGCCAGATCCGCCGCGCCGAGAGGGCAGGACTGCTCTTTCTAGCTAGTATCGCCCCCGGCGTAGCGGAGAGGCACATTGCCGATCTGGAGGCCGAGGCCCGCGCGGAGAGGGAGCGTGAGAGAAGGGAGGCGGAAGCTGCGGCTGCTGATGCGGCCAGGAGACGACAGGAGGAGGAGGAGGGGGAGGTGGTGGTGGTGGCGGTGGCAGGGGAAGGGACAGCAGCAGAAGCTGAAGCCGAAGCAGGAACTGAAGCTGGAGCTGGAGCTGGAGCTGAAGCTGAAGAAACGACGGCGACGACGACGGCAACTCGACCTGTCGACGAGGATGGCAATCAGCAACAGCGGTATAGAGCCAATTTGGTGGCCACGTGATGCGGGAGATGTGATGCGGGAGATGCGTGATACGAGAGAAGGCCGTGTTATGAGAAAGAATGTTTTATTTTACACGCATGAAAGGAGGGAAGAGGACATAGAATAGCATGCCATTTTTCTTATTTCTCCTCAGACTTTTCTTCAGTACGGAGTTTCTGGTCATTGGCTATTTGGAGGATTGGGCCAAATCATTTTATCATATTCACCGTGTTAACCCTTTTTTTTTTTTTTTGCTCTTTCTTTTCTCGTCTCTGTCGTTTATTCTATTGTAGAACTAGACATGGTTTAGGAAAGATGGATTGATTAAACCTGTAGCAAGATGATACACTATTAATTTATCTCATAAGCATCTCGGTCCTTTCCTAGCCATGACTTCTTTTTCCCCTTTCCGAGTACGAGGACACATGTACTCGTTCATGTGCCCTCGCGTGTCGAAGTCTCCCCGCTGCATCATGATGTCACCGCCACAGGCAACCAGCTAGATCACGTCAGCCACTCAAAGCTAGTCAACTCAGAGCAGGCAAAAAAAAAAAAAACAAAGAATCTACGGCAACCTGTCGCGAGGAAGACATATCTGAATACGTCATTTCTGTGCTTTCTCTTCTACGCAGAAGCTGAAAAAAAAGAGGAGAGGGGATAAGGTATCTCTTCTCAACAAAGAATATATATATAATATATATATATATATATATATATAAATATATATATAAACAAGAGAAAAGGAAGACTGGCCATTATGAGCGGAGGTTGGAACACGAGTACGTGGCCTTTTTTTTCTTGCTTCCTTCTTTTTTTTTTCTGGTTGTGTCTGCGCGAGGAAATCATGGCTAACATCTTCGGTACTTCCTCTCAGTTGAGTCTGATGCGGTAAGAACAAGCATGGGATCGAGGCAAAGAGAAGAGAGAGAAGACAAGAAGGGGGGGGGGGGAAGGAAAAAGAGCTAACATGTGAACCAAAAAAAAGGGTGTCTTCACCTCCCTCTTAGAGAATCTAGGCGTATCAGGCGTCCAGTTCGAAGAGCTCCTGACTCTGGACCCGACGGACCTGGCGGCCCTCCAGCCTCTGTACGGCGTCATCTTCCTATTCCGGTACCCGACCGAGACGGCGTACACGTCTCGCGAGAGGCCGCTGGACGGGGAATTCGATCGCGGCGCCTCGGACGACATCTTCTTCGCCTCCCAGACCATACAGAATGCCTGCGCCACGCAGGCCCTCCTGAGCGTCCTGCTCAACAGGAATCGAGCTCCCGCCGCCTCGTCCTCGCCCGGAGATGTCGGAGACGGCGACGTTGACCTCGGGGACGGGATGCGCGAGTTCCGCGACTTCGCCATGGCCCTGCCTCCCGAGCTCCGCGGCGAGGTCCTCGGCAACTCTGATCTGATCAGGGGCGTGCACAACAGCTTCGCCCGGTCCAGCCCCTTCGCCGACGAGACGGCCCGTGACGGCGCCGAGGGCGGCGAGGACGCCTTCCACTTCGTGGCCTACACGCCCGTCGACGGCACCCTGTACGAGCTCGACGGCCTCCAGCCGGCGCCCATCTCCCACGGCCCTTGCGACGGCGAATCCTTCCCGTCCAGGGTGGTCGACGTGCTCCGCCGCCGCGTCGAGAGGTACGCCGCCTCCGAGATCAGGTTCAACCTCCTCGCCGTCTGCAGGGACCTGAGGCTGCGGGCGCGCGAGACGGGTGACGTCGACCTCCTCGAGCGCGAGGAGCGCAAGCGCCGCGACTGGGCCTTTGAGAACGCCCTGCGCAGGCACAACTTTGTCGGCTTCGCCGGCGAGGTACTCCGCCACGTCGTGGCCGGTAAGATCGCCGAAGGCGGCGACGACGCCTGCGACCGCTGGGTGCGTGACAGCCTCGGCAGGAAGACGGCTGCTGCTAGGGCCATGCGTGGTGGTATCGAGGATGTCGATATGGCTGGGTGATCTCTTCTTCTTCTGGCTTTATCTTCCTTCTGGTCTTTTTTTCTTTCAAATTTCCTTTTCTTGTACGTGGCTTTTTATATATTACTCTTTCATCTCTTTTCTTGTCTTTACGTCTTTACGCTTTACGCATAGAATATCCGGGAAAAGCGAGTTAACTGTTCGTACAAAACTAGCTGAATACACCACAGAAGGTCATTCCGGCATCGGCATCAGATGCTGTGCCATCGGGGGCAACGGAATAGGACCTCACATCCGTCTGTGTGGCCGCGACTACGCCCAGATCCGGAAAACGTTCGTGGCATCGTGTACCTGGGGGCAGATAGCAAAATTCAGAAACGGAAAAAGAAGACCCCTTTGTTAATCCAACCTAACCCCTGCTGATTTCTATGATCAATTCCCTAAACGAAGCGAAGCTATCCACTGGAGAACGAAAAAAAGAAGGCGAGAGTAAGAACGAGGCAGCAATATACGAGAGAAAGAAGGAAAGAAGAGAAGGCGACGAGGATAAGTTGGTAGGAGGAAAGGAAGAAAGATGGAAGAGGAAGAGGAAAGAAGAAGAAGAATGACACTACAATGGTAGAGAGAAAGCCATGCCTTGAGGAAGTGATAAAAGTCGAGCGGCGTCCAAGGCGAGAGAGGAGAAGAAGGTCAAGGTAGAGAAGAATCCAGAGCGTGACGAGCAAGAGCCAAGCAAGGGGAAACATCTAGAAAGCCCCTTGTCCGATAGCCAACCCCGTCTTATTGCCAACATACATGGAGTTGCCGCGGCGTGGGGTTTGCCTATGAGCGTAAGCGTCGAAGTTGTTGCGACGTTGTCGGTGGCGGCTGACGCCGATACGCCTGGGGAACAGCAGTCTCCCGTTGCCTCCCGAGGCGGTCTTGGGCCTGCTGGCCCTGCTGGAAGCGGGCTTCTGGTCGTGCTGTCCGTTTTCGCGGACCTTGCCGTTACTGCTGCTACTGCCGCCGTCGTCGTCGCGGACCTTGTTGCTGCTGCTGCTGCCGCCGTCGTCGTCGCGGACCTTGCTGTTGCTGGCGTCGCCGCCGTTGCCGCTACCGGGAGTGGGGTGGAACGCGAAAACGTTGTCGGCAGCCATGTACTCCCTCAGGAAGTTGGTGGCGCCGTCAGTGTACCATCTGGTCAGCACGGCGAGCTGCCACTGCGGGACGGTGCCGGCGCCCGGCTCGGATAGGATGGTCGACAGCAACACGATGGCTTCCAGCACCGAGGTTCGCAGGCTGAAGAGTAGCCAACGGTCGATGAAGCCGGCCATGTCCTCGTCCTCGCGCAGCACGCGCCTGTTGACCAGCTCGTCGATATCCACCTCCTTGCGGGCGAGGTTGACCCTGCGAGCCTTCTCGGCGGGGGTCACACTGCCGACCTCGAGGGCCCTGGCCTTGTCGAGGGCCTGCTGTGGCGTGAGCGGATCCGGCTCCGAGAGGAGGTGGCTGGGCCGCGAGAGGAGCCTGCCGAAGACGGGGTGGGCGGGCATGATGCCGTCTGCGGGCATGGCCACCTCGTTCGGGAGGGGGACTTCGCCGACGTCGGTGGGTATGTGCAGCGCCATGGCCACCTGGACCGAGATGTGCCTCGGCACGAGCTCCCTGGCCTCGCATAGCTGGTGGAAGTGGCGGATGCGATGCTGGATACGCGCCATCTCGGATCTCTTGGTGGCCATGTGCACCGGGTAGTTGGCCACGAATTCGTCGAGCCCGTCTGGTATGCTGACGCCCAGAGATTTCCGGATGCCGACCACCTCGTCGCTATTCTTCTTCTTCTCCGCCATGTCATCGACCGCCTCCTCTACGACCTTCAACGTGGCCACCTCTAGCACTAGTTTCGAGAAGAGGGGGTGTACCTCATCGACCGGCCTATGCGGGGATATGCCCAGGAGCTCGGGCGGTAGCCTGTCACACTTGGCCGACGCTGATTCGTCGCCACTCGCCTGATCAGAGCTCGGCTTGTCCTGGTCGTAGTCGTAAACATCCGGGTTCTTGAGGAGGTTGAAGAAGCGAGACTCCACCGACGCCAACTCGGCCTCCTTCTCCTCCAGGGCATCCTCCAGCTCTATGTAGCCTGCGTCGAGGTCCTGTAGCTCGGTCCGCAGCGTCTGCGCCTTGTCAAAGTGATCCTGGACCTTTTGCAGCGTCTCCTGACTCGGAAGTGTCCGACACACCAGCACCGGACGGACGCTGTTCATGAGGTCATTGTCTGCCCTGTTCATCTTGAGGCGTAGCGCCTCTAGCACAGTGCGCTTGTTCTTCATCTTTCTTTTGATCTCGCTTGCCTGGTGGCGCTCGGCGTGGAGGCTGCGCCAGAGGTCTTGGACTTTGCCGCTCCATGCCTTGTAGCTCTCCTCGTCACCAGGCTGTGGCCGGACGTCGGCCGAGTCGCGACCGTCAAGGGTACGTCCATTCCTGGTGCTCTTGACGTGGCCGTACATTCCGGGGTCAAAAGGAGGTCTGATGTCGGTCCGAAGCAAGCGCTGGAATGCGGCCGCCTGTTCGTACGCGGACGAATCGCTCCCGGAATACGGGTTCGAGAGGTTGGGGACCTCATCGTAGATGATGGGCGACGACGGGAGGATTCCTTCGCCGTAGACGCTAGACTCGTGCTGCGACTGGGTGGCGACTCTGAGGCTGTCGGTCTTGTCCGAGGCCTTGTCCGAGGCCTCGGCCGTTGTGGGCGTCGCGGTCGCCTGCTCGGCCGGAGGGGCGTCGACGTCTTTGCGTGGTGGTGATGGTGCGGGCTCGGGGTGTACGGCCATGGCCTGGGAAGATATCGTGTCGGCCATCCATGGCAGGGTAGCGGCGGGGATGGCCTGGTCCAGGTCGGCGCGTCCGAGACCGAGCCCAGGGTCTCCGAGCCCAGGGTCTCCGAGACCAGAGAGACGAGGGGTAGGAGGCCGGGACCGTTGCAGCGAAGGGGGACCCACCAGGGCCGTCCCCAGGGCCGGCAGTGTCGATGGTGATGGCGATGGCGCCGACGATGGCGTCTGTGTTGGCGTGGTCGGCGAACGTACATCGACGGTGCCGGGGCCTGGGCTGGATGCAGCAGAAGCAGCATTCGTTGCTGTCGGCGCATGATTGAGGGATGACGTAGAGGGCGAGCTGAGAGAGCTGGCGGCATCGGTGCCTCTGTCGTCCGTACCGCTCAAATCCGGAGGTTGGCCGGTCTGGACCATCTCCCCCGCGTGGGGTTGTGGGTCACTTGGCCTGCCGATGGCAGGGGTAAAGTAGTGCCCGTCACCATCATTGCCACCGTTGATGATAACGTTGCTGCTGCTGGCGCCCATGCTGGAGGACGGTGGAGGAGTTGCAGGTGTAGGAGTAACGGTGTCGCCAGAAGGCGGAGGAGAGTGGGGGCTGCGTGGATGGAAGGGAAGAATGAAGCAGACGGTGCTGAGGACGGTGTGCTTGGCATCTACATTCGCCCTCCGAGTACTGTCCACAGCAGAATTTTCCGGGCTAGAAGCAGAGCCCTTTCTCTGACTGTCAAGGTCCGGCTTACCTCGGCCGTGACGAGAGAATGGGGAGAAGACATGACGAAAACGGAAGGGAATCCGTTCTTGGGAACGGTCGATTGCTCGTACCATGTCAAGTGAGCACAGGGCACAGGGGCTATCAGGGTTTCAGGGGGGAGTTACGTCGGAGATTCTGATTAAGACAATAACCATGGCTAAGATGTCCTGTCGCGCTATACGGGATACTACCTATTATCACTTACGTACGCTCGGGCTTTAGAAGACTATGAGTGGCGCCTAACGTAGACAGTTGTAATTGCATATGTTTTACGAGTAAGTAATCTGTACAAAATAATTAATACGCAAGGCTTTAGCCGCACCCCATAATGGGGTGGCGCTGACGGCTGACTATATGATCTGCTGGCAGTACAACAAGCTTCGGCACGCGCCATCAATCCAACGATTAGAGACCTACGTCACAATCCTTCATCACGCCTACTCGTATAGGCCACTATGGGCAAGTAGTCGAGACAGAATACCACCCATACTCTTATAACCAGGACCCTGCCTGCTGCCTCTTGATGTTGCGCGTATTACTGGTAGTAGACATTTGTACTAATTGCACCCCCCCCCTCCCATGATGTATAGACGTCACAACTCATCCCAGGCAAAGATCTACGCGTATCCTGGCCAATAGCTGCGACTTCCTGGTACACCATCATCATCTTAGTGGCACCAGTATGTCGCACAACCCATGTCTCAGGCTTTAGCGAAGCTGATTACCCTGGCTCACAATTTATGGGTCCGAGATGATATGATTGAACGGCAAGTACAATCTCAAGCACGATGCATGCATACCTCAAGTTCTTTCTGTTATCTCCCATCATGCTTGGCATGGAAATACCTGCACACCGGTTTTAGCGGGCAGCACCGTAATGAGAATCTAAACCCCGAGATTGTACAGCCACACTATGCAGAGTAAAATGTACAGATCTGGAATATCAATGTGCACAACTGATCGGGCTCTTTCTTCTCACAGGGTCCTTTTTCTATGCAGAGGGGCGTCAGCAGCACTCTTGGCAGCGACAGCTGTACTGCTCCTAGTGGTGAAGGGTGGTAGTGCTCTGATCACCGCTATATCATTACGATCACGAGCACGGTGTCGGATAAATTCACCATGGCAAACAGCGGTGCAACAATATCGCTGTACATGTCGTGTACGAGTGCGCATATACAGCCTATAAACAATAGCAGTTGCTACTACGTCATAATAGCCCCACTCCTCATCGTAACAGGACTCTCTCTCCAACATCTTCACCACCGCTCTTTACCACTCACGTATTGCTCTTCGCGGACAGAGTACTGGTCGGCACCTGTTTCATCACATAGAGCAATGTGATAGATATCACATCACACCAACCTGTCACCCATGAGCCATCCCTCCCCTCCCCCCCTTTCGCATCCCACTCAACCTGCTAAGCCCCCCCGAAACCGTGCCTACATTGACGATGACGACCAGGCCCTTGGCGGGATCGGCGCTATCCAGACACTTGATCTTGCATCGGCCCATCTATTCCGCTTCCGCACCCAACCACCTCCGATGCAAAAATTGCACCTCTGGCCTTGGACCCTTGGCACGTCCTCTCCTAGGCGTCGGCCCGACCAGACATCTTGAAACATTGTCTGAGCATTACCGTGTTATGTCCCGCGCGTGACGCCGGTCTCCATCGTCGTCTCGCTGGGCCCGTCTAGACCATCACCTTCTTCCTACGAATTAGCTCCCTTCGTCCTTCGTGCTCACCCCCCCCCCCCCCCCCCCCCCCCCCCCCCCCCCCCCCCCCCCCCCCCCTCTTCGTCTCTGCCGTGTCATGTGTGACCTGACGTGGATGGTAGACGAGCCAGTTGCCATCTCCTGCGCAGGCTCGGACGAAGGAGTGAGCATGGAGGAGACGCGGATGCCTCGTCTGCCTCCTGACGCCTCGCCGACCGACAAATCGGTTGGCTGGAGGTCCAGCAGACCTGCCCCCCCCCCCCCCCCCCCCCCCCAGGAACAGCAGTATCGGTAGGGAGGAGCAGCCGGACCGCAGAGCAACCGAGGGAGAAGGAAGAGGGACCAACGAGCCAGAAGAAGACTGCTGTTTTTGGGAGGTCAGACAAGCCCCGAATGAAGGGAAGCCCGTCTATACGTATGGATGCCCAACCGAGATGAGAGGCTGCCAGGCTCTCACCCACCCAAACTCTGAACCAGTCCTCCGCGTACACGGTATGATCGCAAAGAGTTCGAGATCAAGTCTGCTCTCTATGTCGATCAAGCGCCGGTCCGTCCAGACCCTGCGTCATCGCCCACATTGGATCGGGCATTCACGCTACGCGCCACTATCCACTATACCCTAGCGTATACTCATCACCCAACAGCACCCCTCATGGTTAGCTCAGGCAGACAGGCGTTCGAGCAAAGACGTTCGCGGCCCGCCCCGCATCCCTGCTGTCCTATTGCCGTTGACTGACGACCCTGTATCCTCTCGGCCCGTGATTTTGAGCCGCATCTGTCATCTACAAGAAGCCGTGCTTTTTTTCATAGGACCGCTTAGGTTCACCCTGGTAGAGAGTAAGGAGTACCACATCCGCTAACTTTACCTGGAGATCAAGTCTCCCTGGAACATTTTGAAATATCCACCTCCGTTCTCCTGTCATTTATCACGTCAGCCCTACCCGCAAACCCTCACCGGAGACCTAACCCCCGGGAAAGAGGAAGACTGTAATCTGTACGCGTACCTTCTCTGCACTATTGCTCCACCTCACTATGGGCAGAGGCTCTGAGAGCGATGGTGATGTCATACGGAGCGAGTGGTCGAACTGGATACACGACAAAGACAGGAATGAATACTACCACATCCGATACAATAGTCTAGGTTCGTATCCCAACTCCACGACGGAACCTGCTGTACTTGACACATGCTAATCTCCGACCTCTTCTGCTCTCCCGCCCGTTTCCTCTCGAGAAGGAGAGGATTTCTGCGAATACTACCATGGCGACGGCCAGCAGGCTCTCCGAACAGAAGGAGCGGCTGGGGATATCCAGGACGCAATCGGACAGGCTTCGGCTGGAATGCAAGAATTACACCTCGTCAACTCTCCAGACGGTATATATGACCCATCACCTCTGTACCCCAGAGCATGCCGAGCCCAGCTAACCGGGCATGCGTGCCATCGGTGCGTGTAAGGAATCAACTACTCGCTTACCGACGACTTGGCGGACAAAGCAGACATTCCAGCTAATGAGTACGAACAAAATGGGGATGGTTCGTATATCCCAGCCATGCATCCCCCCATCTTGTACGCATCCGGGTCAGGTCGCTGACTGTATTGAAGAACTGGGAGAACAGGAATTTGCCTACGGCGGTTCTGATGAGCACGGCGCTGCTTCCGCCGCAGCTGCCAGATACTATCTTGAACAGGCTTCCCATGATGACCAAGCTCACGGTATCTGAAATCTGGCTCCCCTTTTCCTTCTTCTAGTACCGGAGGCCGGAGGCTCACTGCGTAGCAGGTAAAGCCCATGGTAAATTGAGCGAGAGGATCACAGACGCCCTCGATCCCAGTTGGTCTACCATCTCCCCTCGTACCTGCTCACGGCCTGCTCGTGTATTGACGGAGGACTGCAGGATTCCAGAAACATCACTCGAGAAAATTCACTCCTGGAATGGTAGGTTCGAGGAGGTCCGAGGAGTGCCTACAAGCATGACAAGACGACCCGCTGGCTGACAGATGACACGTATGCGCCTCAGGTGGTCAAGGTATACTGGCCCCAGCCGCGAGGCCACGGCGACCTGTCCACCACGGCCCGGGATTTCAAGGATGAAGAAGAGCTCATAAACTCGAAAATCAGGCGTTTCATCATCGTCACCCAGGACAATGGCCACTCGATTGGGGTGTAGGTCTCACAGCCATAGACCGTGCATACGGAGAGAGAGACCGGGAGGCTGACGAGAGACATCCAGGCCAATCTCGACGTACTCGGGCCGGGCCACCCTCAAGAAGGGGTTGAAGCCGGAAAAGCACGGGGCCATCTACGATGAGCGCAGGAACCTCGTCCTCAAGCACGGGGAGCCAGCGCTGGGCTTCGAACCCGTCCGTGTTCGCATGTCTGACAAGGACGATACGCTGCTTGCCGAATCTCGCGTCAACTACTCCAAGATGGTGACGATTGAGCACAACTACCTAGTCTGGTTCATCGGGAAGATCATCGAAGACGATTACCACATCGTCAAAAACGCCTACGAGGAATGCTGGATCAAAAGTAACCACGACAGCAGCTACAGCAAGGGCAACGAACACAGGCACGGCAAGCACGACAGGCACGACAGGTACGACAGGCACGACAGGCACGACAGGTACGACAGGCACGACAGGCACGACAGGCACGACAGGCACGACAAGTCGAGCCGCAAGGGCCGTCATTGACCTATCCCATACTCATCGTCGGCATGGGAAGTAACAAGGCAGAGAGCACTGGAGCGCTGGCTTGTTCATTTTATACGTTACTCTTTACGCACGGCCCACACAGAAGTTGACCTGACCCGGTACTTGTTGACGGGTTCAGAAATTTCCTTTTTTTGTGTCTTCCGTTATTATCTTACGTTTTTTTTTTCTATCTCGCGTTTGACTTATCTCTCCTTCCATCTGGTTGGAACGCAGATATCATGAGTGTAGCCTTGCGTCTCTCTATAGGGGCCGCAGCCTTCCTCTACACGTTGATCTTTTATGACGAGGGGCGATTTGTGGGATGAACGAAATCCGGGGAATCTCTCATGATTACGTGTGTGTACGTTCTTCTGTCCTCTCGCTGGGAATTTTTTCCTTTTTTTTCTGTTCTCCCTCTTCGTCACTTTCTATTATTTTCTTTATTTTTGGAAACAGATTGTCTACTTGCCGTCTCCTTTCTCTCTCATCCTCTCTCTCCCAGCTGGGGAGTTGAAGAGGTTGAGGTGAGAGTGAGGGGGGTCCACAAATTCCAAGCCTCGGCACATTCGCGAACCTCTCCCACTGTAATCTGTAATCTGTACAGAGCATTAAGATGATAATACTCCGTACCGTAATGCCTGTAATGCTCTGTGAAAGTCCCGTGGATTAGTGATGTCAGCCTCCCCTGATGACGGCCGAGGTTGAATCCCCAGCTACCCCCCACGTTCTATTCACCTGCCAAGAAGACGATCCTGTTTTTTCTTCTTCCTTTTTTTTTTTTCCCCACCCTTCATCAACATCCGATTTTTTTGGGGGTTCTACCATTGTTATTCGAGATTGTGGAATCTCTCCCTTGAATCAATATATATATATATAATAAGCCACAACTGTCTAACAATAACGGAAAGAAAAGCAATCAAGATGGCTGCCGCCGACGTACAGCTCCACGACTTCCAGTCCCTCTTCTCCCTCAAGGGCAAGGTAGCCGTTGTAACGGGAGGATCACGAGGTCTAGGACTGAGTTCAGCATCAGCGTAAGTAGGAGAGTAGGAGAGGGAAGAAGAGGAAAAGAGGAAGGATAAGAGGACGTTCAAAGAAGAGAGAGAGAGAGCAGAGAGAGTAGAGAAAACTGACATGTGATGGATCACAGACTCCTCCAAGCCGGCGCATCCAAAGTCTTCATCTCGTCGCGCAAGGCAGCGGCGTGCGACGAGGCGGTCAAGCTCCTCAACGGGCTCCCGAACCTGGCGGACGGGGCGGTGGCCGTCGCGGTGCCGGCGGACCTGTCGACGCTGTCGGGGGTGGAGAAGCTCCTGTCGGCGGTGAGCGCGCAGACGGACCGGGTGGACATACTGATGGCCAACGCGGGGGCGACGTGGGGGGAGAAGCTGTCGACGCACGGGGACGCCGCCTTTGCCAAGGTCATGGACCTGAACGTCCGGTCCGTCTTCAACACCATCCGCCTCTTCGCGCCGCTGCTCGAGAGGTCAGGCACGCTCGACGACCCGGCGCGGGTGCTCATCACGTCGAGCGTGGCCGGCAGGGGGGTGGGCACGCTGGGCCGTCAGGCCACCTTTGGCTACTCGGCCAGCAAGGCGGCCGTGCTGCACCTGGGCCGCAACCTGGCGGTCGAGCTGGGGCCGCGCCACATCTCGGTCAACTCCATCTGCCCTGGCTTCTTCCCGTCCAAGATGTCCAACGGGCTGCTCAGCATGTCGGGCGGGGCCGAGCTGTTCGCCAGCAAGAACCCCATGAGGAGGCTGGGGAGGCCCGAGGACATGGCCGGCGTGGTGGTCTACCTCTGCAGCAGGGCCGGCGCACACGTCAATGGTGAGGGCATCGCCGTTGACGGTGGTGCCATGTGGGTCACTGGGGAGTTGGCCATGGCTGGTGGGGAGCCAAAGTTGTAGTCTTACATGAGGGTATGTGGGTATGTGGGTGTGTGCGCGTGCGCGTGCGCGTGTGTATTGTCGTTATGTTACATGATGGATGTTTCCTGTCTAAGAGAAGAGAAGACTATCTAAGAGACGAGGAGATAGAGAGGGAAAAGAAAGGAAGAAGAGAAAAAAAAGATGTGAAGAGGTTGTCTGCGAATCAAGACGTCGTTATGGGTGCTTCCATGTCTACATGACGGCTGACCTTCCTGGCAACCCAGGTGCTGGACCTGTACACGGTCTGGAGCATGCTGTCCCTATCCTGGATGTAGGGCGTCTCGACGTCGTCCCGCCTAGACTCGATGCGGAACCCGACGGCCTCGAGGAGGGCCATGACCTCGTCGTTTGCCAGCTCGAAGCTCCCCGGGTCGGCTATGCCCGACGAGCTGCGCGAGTCGTGCTGGCCGTCGCCGTCGTCGTCCTGGCCGCCGTTGCCGGGGGCGTTGTTCTCAAAGTGCCACAGCAGGGGTCCTACGTTGACGAGGATGCCGCCCGGCCTCAGGCAGCGGTGTACCACGTCCAGGTAGCGGGCCAGGTTGGGTGCCGTGTCGAGGAAGAAGACGGTCGCCACGGCGTCGTAGGCCTCGGCGTGCTCCTCGTCGCCGTAGACGCAGAGGAAGTCGGCGGCGCACATGGACATGGACCCCTTGGGGTCCGGGTGGAGAGACAGCGCCGTGGCCGGGTGGATGTCCGGGACGGCGTAGGAGCGCAGGTGGTTGGACCGCACGCGGTGGTTGGAGAAGCTGTGGACCCAGGGGAAGATGCGGTGGTGGCCGGCCGAGGGGCACTCGTTCAGGATGTACGACGATGCCAGGAGGGAGTGGTACGATATCTCGTTGCCCTCGGCCGAGAAGCCGCGGTAGCACAGGTCGAACACCAGCCTTCCCAGACCTGCTCCCGGGACCAAGACTTTGAACTCCCCGTCCTCCTCCGTCGTCTCCCCGTCCGCCTCCCTGGCCGTGCCGTGCCTCCTTCGACGGGACCTCTCGGCCTCCAAGGCTTCCAAGACGGGACCGAACGAGGCCTGGCGCTCCCCCGACCCGTCGGCCGTCCAATCCCGGTAGAACTGCCGGAGCGTGCTCCTGGCCTTGTCAATGTCCGAGTGCTTGGCCACGCCGACCCAGGCGCGGGGCATCTCGGTCAGGCCGAACGACCTCAGACCAGAGGCGACGATGTCACGCGCCAGCTCGGCGTTGCGGTCGATGGCCGCGTCGGTCCTATCGAGGGTGTCGAGGAAGTTGAAGGGTAGAGAGGCGAGCATCTGCCACTGAGATTGGGGGAGAGCGTAGAACGAGCGACGACGGAGGTGCGTCACGTTGAAGTGGGCAACCTTGGCATATTGGCTGTGTTCTCTCTGTCTTTAGCACGCAGCATCATGTACTCGTATATCAGATCTGGGCAGATGGGAGAGAGAGCAGGAGAGAGGGAGAGGGATGGACGGAGAGAGTAGTGGGACGTACGCAAAAGAGTCCAGTGCACTGAACATGACTCTCATCTCCTCCGGGTCTTCCATCGTCTGCTCGACGGTCGACCAGGCGCTCTCGCCCTCTGCGACGGTGCCTTGCGCGCCGATCTCCGAGTCCATTGAGGGGTTGGTGACCCGTGATGTCTCAGAATCCAGAGAACATGGTTTGGGGATGGGGGGAGAGAATGGTAATTACAGTCAGCGATATATTAATATGATTTATCAAGGCAGGAAAAGGAGAAGTAAAAGTATTAAAAAATTTGGGGGGTTTTTTTTTAAAAAAAAAAAAAAAGAAAAGAAAAGAAAAGAAAAAAGAAAAGAGGAGAGAACAGCTCGACGTCGCGGGACACAATGTGGGGTTGAATGAGCTGCCGGAGGGGGGAGCCGCTAGGATGAGACCTATTACAGCAGCTGCTTGCTGTTTGGGCGGTTTTCGGGCAGCGGGAAAAAAAGAGAGAAAAGACACACATATGATGGCCTCCACCATCATGTGACGACGGCTCTCGTCTCTTCAACACTATCGTTTGCGTCAACGACGTCTCTCACCTGGTCTCGTCTTGGACGGCACACACGCGCACGCGCACGCACGCACGCACGGCAAGACTAGGGGTAGAAGAAAAATGGATGCTACTACTCTGCAGGACGGGACCACAGAGGTCTCCATCCCGCTCCCGCGGTCTCTCGACACACGCATCTACATCCGCCTGTCGACACGCACGCGGGCCGTCGTCGTGTGCCTGACCACAGCGTCGGAGGATGATCACGGGGCGGCAGTCCCCATGGGGTCGTTCGTCTATGCCCTTCCCAATGTGAGTGGCCTAAATACAGTATAGCGGGCTGGTAGGACCCCGGTGCACCAGCAGCGGAAAGAAGAGGAGAGGAGAGGAGAGGAGGAGGAGAGGGGAGTCGTGTGCTGACGCCCCCGACTAGAGGGTCGACTCTAGCCAGCCTCTGTCCACGGCCCTCTTCCCCCACGAGCCAACGTTGGAATTCACGACGCGCATGGCCAAGCTCCTGGCCCGCAAGACGGATCTCCCAGTCTACGTGACCAACTCGATCAGCTTCGTCAACGCCGGCATGGGCGGCACGGTGGAGGAGGAGATGGAGGCCTTCAAGAGTATCGTCCAGGTTGCTCTGGAGCACATCAAGGATGTCGGGGGAAAGGCAGCGGCGGACGGGAACCGATCCTGAGCCACGACACCTGCACAGCAAGGCCGTCCGAGGGGAGGAGGAAGGAGGACCGAGAAGGTTGATGTGCAGCGGTGCCGCACGCACCCACCTCGGGTCGGCCGCTTATCTACGGGACCTGACGCTTCCCCTGTCCCCTGGACCGACGAGACATTCCCCCCTCGACTCGCACTGCATCAGCGAGACCGGCCACACAAGGAGGATACGAACGTCGTACACGCCACCCGTACAGCCTTGCCCACCGCCCTCCCCCCCCTCCCTTCATCTCGCTTGCCAGATCACACCTGCTGGGCCGCTGGTGGCACGTTGGCCGCTACCGTCCACGTCGCCGATGTCCAGGCGCAGACTAGGCGGTACGGTCATGATGCATGCACGACTCCCTACGCTAGACCTGTACAGGTCGCCTGGTGCTGCGATGACAAGCAAGGCGCTGCCAAGCGGAGCGGAGAAGGCTGCGGACCTGACTTGTTTACCGTGATGCTGCCAGCAGCTACTGATACTACGTCGTGGCACTGTGCCACGGCATCTTCAGGCTTGAGACTATCACCATCGAAGATGCCTGTACTCGGGTGTGGGTGGCTCCTTGTGTGCTGGGTACGATGAGGGGGCACTTCTGTTCCCTGCAACGCTGGGTACACAATACGGTCCGCAGATATTGACACTATGGAGCTGCATCTTTGAATATACGGAATAGCACGATGAACTGAATCTGTAGGGTCCTGCTTCGGTAACACGTTATGCCTCTCCTTCACATGCAGTCACATGCCTGTTCACTGAGTATCCTCGACTCAGGGTCCAGTCCAGGTTGAGTGAGACGCATGCCAGGTACCACCCGAGCTATCGTTATCGCCTTCTCTCCCTCGCTGCACCCCGCTCTAAAAAAAAAATTAGCACCTGGGAGCGTCTCAGTGGCTGGCTTGGTGGGGGGTGGGGTTTACTGTTCCGCTCTTCTTCTTTTTTTTCTTTTCTTTTACCGTATCACTGTAGGCTGGTGCAGCCCGTCAACTGATTCCCACTGTGATGGACACTACGTATATACTTATATTCAGTGGTCGGGTGGATCGTAGCGGCTACCTTGGTACTACATAGTATGTAGGAATAGTGAGCACTGGGCCGCTGACAGCGGGCTGGTGACGGCGTCGGTAGGCGTCCAGCGGGTGATGGCACGTCCAGTTTAATAATAGTGGACTGTCTAGGGCCCCTCGCAAGCCCGTCTCAGGCCCCTCCCCGGGCCCCTCCCCTCCCTCTCTCACAGGGCCCAGGTGATGCATTGTCCCGTCCACCCACCTTCCCATACACACACCTACTCTCTCTCTCTCCCTCCCAGCACCGAGCTCTCTCTCTACCCTACCTACTAGTACCCTTGACCCTGCCTTCATTCCTTTTCTCCTATTCTTATTCCATATACGTTGCCCGTACCAAGGGGCATCCAGCAGACGAGCTAGACAGATCATCGACGTCGGCGAGCTCTCGTGTGGAGATTCTGTGAGTTACAAAGAATCAAC